ATATCATTTGCATGTTGTACTATTAGCTTTGGATGTGTTTCCAAAATCAGGATGTAAGTGAATATGGCAAGCAACCCATAAAATGCAATGAATGACAGTGAAACTGTTTCTGTATACGACTGTTCAAGGCCTTACAGCTTCAAAAAATAATGTAAACAATACATAAGCCAACAGTTTGCATTTTGGAAATTATAAGTCTATAGTGGCACATTCAGATGCACTACTGCTAGAACAGGCTACACACACACACACACACACACACACACACACACACACACACACACACATATATATATATGCAGTAGTACACATCCCTAACCATACCCTTTGCCTGGTCATATTTCTGTTATGTAAAAAATGGTTAAGCTGTGTGCATGCATGTTGAAAATAGTTGCCAGCTATGCACAGAAACACTGAGGGGATGCTTCTATTTGGAAAAGCAGCAATAATAATAGCACTTGTCTTTCAAAATCATAATTCTGCAGCCACACATTGTCATATTGCATGTGATGGCTTTAAAAAGTGAGGGAGGCTGGACTGTCAGAATTTGAGGAAACTACATTATTTTCCATTTCTTTTGTCTGACAATGTTGTAATGAAAGGCTGTTAGACTTGGGCTTTGATTTTTTTTTTTTTTTAAACCCACTCTTCAGCTGAGAGACTGTTGTAGCACTTTGGAAATGTAGTTAGTCTGACAGACATCTTGAACTACATTTAAATTCCATCATGTTCTTACTAACACAACCCCCAAGACATTAAACTCTCTGAGACTTTTGAAATACAAATGAATGTAAAAAAAAAAGTCAGTGGGATTTACTTGAGACTGCAGACACACACAGACCATGAAATTTAATTTGGGTTTAGACTGTAATCTGTGTTCAATTTCTTTAGTATTATACAAAAATATTGCTTTACTTATATTGTTCTGATGCAAATGACTTTAAATCCTATTTTCCAAAATTGAGCACAATATGACAATGTACTGTGGTGTAAGGGACCCTATCCAGGATCATTACACACCATTTACCTGTATTTACTACAGAATTAATTCTCATAAAAAAACAAAATAAAATAAAACCCAAATCTAAAAAAAAAAAAAAAAAAAGACGTTTATTGATAAATGCATGACATATTCTATTAGATTTTCCTTGCCTCCCACACATGGAACCAGCCATGTATAAAATGTTCTCTGAGGGACCCAGAAAGGCAGGAAAATAAACATTAACACTAACTGCAGTACTGTGTTTCTGAAAATAGCATTTCTAATTAGTTAGCTTCAGTCACTGCATTTGAATCAGCACAGCCTGTATCAGTACACAGTGGTTTACACAGCCATCATGCAAAACCAATCTTACTTATCATTTACTGAAATCTAGGCCATTTCTCATCAGCAGTTACACTTACTAAGATTAAGATGATTATAAACGACCACCCTACTAATGGTTGCAGTAACCAATCTAACTTGATGGGTGAATGATATAAAGTCTGCCCCATCCAAGGCAACCAAACCTCTAACTTAATAGGTCAATCCATCATTTTTTTTGGCTTCGAGAAAGCCAGACTCCCTCTGCCAGTTCCTTAGTTCTCTCTGACAGCTTCCATTCGGCCCGGTAGCGTAAATCATCCCTCTCCTCGCCTGAATCTACCAGCTCAATCCTCAGGAACATTTCTTTCTCCAAGATCATTGAAGCTAACAAAGAGTCTGTAGCTTGTCTGGTTCTCGGCAGTGTGGGGGAGGAACGAGAAACTCCACAACGAGGGGGTGGACGACTTTTAACCACTCTGCTTCTGACTTGCTCTTCCTCATGTTTCACCAACGTCACCTCTCTATCATCTGAGGTAGATGTACTTGAAGGGCTCTCATTGGTTGATTCAGAGCTAGGGGATGACTGTGTGTCCTCTGATCGGTCAAGGTCCACTTGGAAGGCTAATTTCCTGTTACTTTGTCTGCTGATAGACAGACAAGGAGGCCATCGGAGGGAGAGGCATCTCGTCATTGCCAGCCATAATTCCTGAGGCCTGAATAAACCTGACCTTGGTGTTTCGTTTGTGCCACTAAAGTTGTCCTGTTTCTCCAACCGTGTGCATTCTGCTGCTAATTCAGTCTCCACCAGAGCTGTGACAGGTACTCCATTAGAGTTCTTTGGTGACAGTTCTTCTCTGTCTTCATTCCTCGACTGTAGCTGTTGATCCTCTCCAAAGCTGAAAGAGCTGCTGAACCTCTGACTCCTCTTCATCGCACTTCCTGCCTCCGCATCTGAATCTGACAATGATTCTTCATCTGATGAGCATCCATGTGGTGACGACTGCTCTTTGGAATCCTTTAACCATGGCCGCTGATTCTCTTCAGAGTCAGAGGAGCTGCTCGCCCTCTGGCCTTTCCTCATCCTTGGCCAAACAAGTCCACTCCTTTTGCTTTATCTGTCAGCTGCCCAGTACTGCTCGTCTTTCAGCTTTACCAGTGACAGATTGAGGGGGAGGAAGGAATGGAATCAAAGCTACCACCACAACAACAACAACAGCCGCAACAGCTCTGCTAGCATGGCACTTTCTGACATAATCTCTGCTTCAAGAGGCACAGCTTTGGCTGGGGAGATGGGTAGTGATGACGCTGTGATGTCATGTGCCCACATGCACACACACAAACACACACAGAACCCCCTGCATGGCTATGTGTTCACGCTCCAGTCGAGTCAGCGGTGACTTGCCTCAGAGGGAAGTGATGTCACATTGCATGATGTCATATCTAGCCACAAACCAGGAGTCTGCAAATGGTCTGTGTCTGTGTGAGAGCCCAGACGGAAAAAAAAAAAAAAAAAAGATGCCCGACCCCCAAAATTGACCTAGATGTGCAAAGGGAAGTCTTAATAGATAAAATTTTGTTTTGGGATTTTCCCCATTCATCTTACTATAGTTCTTCTTGCAGTTATTATAGCACTGATATTCAGTTCAAAATTATTTTCATAAAACTAATGATTGTTGCTCTTTGTAGTATAAAGTATAAAGATGCACCAAGAGAAATGTACAAATACCTAAATTTGTAAGGACAGTATCTAGAGAGTATCTAGAAACAGAATCCACAGCAGATGCTTTCTCAGTGTATCATAGACAACTGTTCATTTATTTATGTTTATTTATCTTCTTACTTCTGGATGCATGTCTGTTGTTGTATTTTGGAGGGATGTGGAACATAGAGTAAGAGAGAGAGAGAGAGAAAGTCAGAAAGATGAATCCAAAAACAGACTCCCACTGGCTGCATACCTGCAGGTGCTCTATGTGTACAGTACACAAGTGTATGTGTGTGTGTCTGTTGACTGCTCGGTGAGTACCTCCAGTCCCATGTCGACACTGGATGTTAGGTCACTTGCTATCTTCCTTGCTTTTCCATTTATGGCTGTGACGGCTGCTCAGACTGCATGCCCCTCCGTTCATTCAATGTACACCTTCTTACATCACCTCGGGGTAAAAGGGCAGTAACCACTGTCGACTCCAGACCGGCTGACCTTATCACACACATACGTGTCCCAGCTGATAAAATCTGTTGAGTCAATTTTCGTGCGTAGGGGGCTGCATGTAATTGAGAGAGAGAGAAAGTCACTGAAATGATCACAGTTCTCAGAATATCTTCCTGAGCAATTATATTTAACATACTAATATTAATGGTAATAGACAATGTCAGAGGCAAACCACTGTTACATGATAACTCAGTACTTCTGGTGTCATGGTATGGATGGATTACATGCCCTCAAATCGTGATGAAAACATTTGTGATGCATCTTTCACATTATATTTAAACTGAATATCTATTTACTGACAGAGAAATACTGAAAGAGAAATTCTTGGGGGATTTTTTGTAAAAGTTTTTACTCCAATATAAGTTACTGGTGCGCACTGGATGCCAAGATTTAAATTAAGGGCAGTTTGGTCAATATCAGATCACTGGTGTTTTTGACATGTAGTGTGTCAAATTTAATTTCATGTCACATTCGTTCTATGTAAATGCTTTCATACAATAATCCTGGAGGTCCTGTTGAATCTGAGCCTCCAATGCTACAGGAATGCAGTGGTGGGAGAGGATCCACAAAATATGGAGAGGCTCGCTCCCTCTACTCTAAAATGTCCCCTGGCAGACAGAGCTTGGCTTCCCACCATTCCTACCTAGTGGAAGGATGAGTGTGTGGCAGCAGTTTTCTGGCCTGGCTGTCTCCCACTGTGGAAACTACATTTTGTTGCTGAATAATGTATTGTCAAAGAGTAGGTTTTTTTGGAAGAGGTCGAATAAACGTTTATTATGAACTCTCTTTCGATAAGTCACCGAAAGAAGAAGCTTCAAGTTATGATCACACTTAAGCCAGGAACCAAACAACAACGCAGCTTATTTCAACCCTTTGTTCGTCGCGTTGATAAGGTAGGCCTATAACTTTAATTGAAGAGTTTACACTGTCAATTTAGCAAAGGTGCCCTTGGTTCAAGAACATAAAGTTGTTTCAAGTGTTACACAAGGAGGAATACTACGGGAAAAGTGGGACTGAGTTTGAATCAACGGGGGCTGCTAGCATGAAAAATTCATAAAAGCTTTGGACAGAAACCGCAGACTGGCAAGGCGGAATGTTTTCCCGTTATCACAGCTATTTCTGGACTGCGTTCTCATACATAATTCACACAAACCGAGGGGGGAACCGTATACAAGCCATTAAACTCACCCCAAGGTCTGCTGAAGTTCGCTAAAATGTCTAATTCATTATGAGCAGGTGAGTTGTTGAAAGCCACTTTACGTCCACGAAACAGGCGAGCCAGTTGATGGCGCTGCTCATTCCTCACACTGTCAGGCACGAGGAGGTGAGCTCGAGCCGGAGCAGCGCATGTAACGAGACTTCCGATTGGTTAACGTTTTACAGCGATTTTATGAAATCGGCCGTGATTGGGCCGCTGTAAGTAGGCGGTGCTGTGCACAGCATTTCATTGATATAGCCTACAGCTGGTGGCTACAGCTTCGCCACATACGGAGTGAAAGGGCTAAGAAAGTGACGAGGGCTCGATGTAGGGGGGTTTTCAAGAAGGCTCGAGAATTGTTTTCTAATTTTTTTTAAAGAGTGGCACACCAAAGATTTCCAGAAGACACAGCCAAAATGCTCTGCCACGTTACTCGTCCGGATTCGGTGGTGATGGAAGTGGAAGTTGATGCGAAGGCGAACGGTGAAGACTGTCTGAATAAGGTAGGCTGAGGTGGAATACACATCACGTTTTGTTGTTATTGTGATACTGTTTAAAACATCGTGTCGCGGACAGGCGCAGGCAACAGTGTTATGTCTGTCTTACGAAACTTGCAATTTTCCTAAACTTTATCTTGTTTGTTTCGTCGATTATTTGCGAATCAAAAACTATAGTAAATAAAACGGTTTGAGGAGTTGACGAGGAATACTTTAAGTTGTTTTCGCTGCTTGACACGATATTCAGTGTGAACTACATCTGTAAACAATAATACCAAAACTGTTGCTACATCTTCCTCATTGTCGCACACGGGGAGGGAGAAAACAAAATGTTCTGCTCCCCACGATGTACAAAACAATGATACCTCTTTTTGTAACAAACCTGAAAAATGTTGATTCATAGTTAAAATGTTTGACTCAACATGCATGTAGGAAAGTTCTGAGACATTAGTAGGAAAGTGCCGACGGTCGCCTCTACCTGCACGGCTTAGTCGGAGGCAGATGGCTTTGTCAAGGTTACTCGAGTTCATTCTTCTGCCTTCTCAAGAACCCATCATTCTTGCTCCACTCACACTGAAACTTCCGTCTCAGCTAAGTTGTTGCGATATCCTCCCTTCTAAAATGGACAAGAGCAGGGTAGCATGTGAACTTTTTTCCTTTCATCTGTTGCCTCAAGTTGTTTTTTTCCCTTCCGCTAATAGAGTGAACAGCTATTTCATATGCAAGGCGTATTCCCAACTTGCCGTGGGTATGAATGAGTTTTATCTCAGCCTCCGGGCTCCCTGCAGACGTTCACCAGCAGTTATGTAATAACCTCATGGCCGCTGCCGCTCAAGGGGGCATGGGATTGTGGGTTTGATGAGCCCCTTTACCCCGGGAGAGCCTCCAAGTTTACTTCTATCCTATCGCGAGCTTTGGAATATTGATGGGTTTTATCTGTGAGAGAGTAGCGCTGGGGCAGCAGAAATCCAAATGAACCAAGTGATAAAAGCACTTTTCTTTCCTTACCCTCATGCAGATACTCTTGTGAAACTATTGATTCCTGCTGAATAAGTCCTTCGCGTCTTACCACCCTCCACTGGGAGGATAAAACCACTGTGGACTGTTTTATTCAAGGACATCTTAGTCTGCTAACAAAAGTCAAGATGTTAAGACAGCCTCTTTGCTCTATGTGTTATATAATGTGATGCTGCTAACTGTTATAGGAACTTTAAATCTTCCTCTGTCTGAATGATTTAGTGTGTCCCCTATTACTCTTTTCGAAACAATTGGTTTTAGAGTCCTTCTTGAATAACTTTGTCTAAAATCCACCTTTTGCAATCCCTTTTCTTTCATCCCTGTCCAGGTTTGCCGGAAGTTGGGCATAATTGAAGCGGACTACTTTGGGCTGCAGTTCACAGGCAGCAAAGGAGAGAACCTGTGGCTGAATCTGAGGAATCGAATCTGCCAGCAGATGGATAGTGTGACGCCGTGTCGACTGAGGCTGCGGGTCAAGTTCTTTGTGGAGCCCCATCTCATTCTGCAGGAACAGACACGGTATGTCTACCAACCCATGTGCTGCTGCGTAGACATTGTGTGCAGATCTGCTGCGTGAAATTCTTCAGCTTGTCATTAGCCTATCACATTCAAATTTAAATCTGATCTGTGTTTTCAATTAAATATGCTTTTATTTCCTTATGACTGCATGCGACATGCACTGAGGAATACGAGCTGGAAAAAACAAAGCCATCCTCAGTGAGCTCCCAGAGCATAATCTGATCACTTTGTTTCCACCACAGTGGAATGCCCTGTAGTAACCTCTTCCAGCAGCTCTTCCGGGGTTACTATAGGTCATTTTGGTAGAACGCCAGGCAGGAAATGTGATCCAGCAGCTCTGGGGCTATGTGTTGCTCTCAGGCTGCCCCTGGGGACCCTCTGTGTGACAGCCAGGACCTCTGTCACTGCCCCCATTCAACTCAAAATAACTTTTGTTGTGCCTGATGTTGTTTTTTTTGTTGTCTCAATTGTTTTATGGCCATTTTAGTCTGAACAAAAGGACAGCCCTCGGTTTGACATTTGTGCAGATGCTGATGCAGATGCAAACTGTGTGACAGCACCAGTGTAGGGTGTTTTTCCAAGTAGTTTTTGTTTTCACATGAATGTGTCATTGTGAGTCATCGTTGCAGCTGGTTTTAATAGTGAACTTTTATAACAGTTTTTGAAAGTATTAGGATGTGAATTTCACGTGTGCATTGTGTGATTTCTAGTCACATGTATCTGAAATATGAATGCTCTATTTCTTTTTTTTTTTTTTAGAAACACAATAGTTCACTATAGCAAATAACATGTTGTAGTGACATCTCCCTTCTATGCCATATTAGTTTAAACAAAAAAGCATCTAGTCAGAACAGCACAACAAGCCTCGACAAGTCCAGATCCTGACTCAGTATTCCCCAGCCCCAATTTGTTTGAAGTTATAATTAGAAAGTGCATTTTCAGCCCTCGGAACCTATCCAAGAAACTTGTTTCACGCTGAGTATCTAGTGTGATACTGCAGATCTTATATTCTCTCTCAGGCAGTGTCACGAGTGTTTGGTACTGCAGGATTGGATCTGTGGCTCTGGATCGAGGGCACACTAGAGGGGAAATCTGTTTGGTGTCTTTTTAAGCTTTGCCACACTGCTCCTGCCCTCTGTCTCTCGCACACAGCATGCCTCTAGAGCTGTTCATTAAACTGACATGTATCTGCCTTGGCCAGCATTTGTCTGGAATTCCAGTAAGCTCTCAGTTTCTCCCCAGTTCACCTACTGTCCCACCACCAGCTCTTTGTCACTCCTTCAACAAAAGGAAATATATCAACTGTGCTCTGTCCTTCAATAGTTTGTTGTTGTTGTTGTTTTTTTTAATCTCAGTCAGATATGAACTGTCTCTGCTTTCACTTCCTCTGTCCATCTCTCTCTCTCTCTCTCTCTCTCTCTCTCTCTCTCTCTCTCCACCCCACTCTGGTCCATATTTGGCAGCCTTTGAAGAAGAAAGTGAAAGGCAACAGGGGGGTGAGAGAGGGTGAGCGTGGAGGACACTTGGCTGCCTGCGCTCTGACCTCAACTAGATTAGCAGGGGTTATCAACAGATGGCTGGCGTCGGGTGTGTGTGTGTGTGTGGGGAGGGGGGGGTCATGGGGTTGTGAAAAAAGGTGAGATAAAGATGCGAGACGGCAGGCAGGGGTATGTGGGGTTGCCGTTAATAAATACTCACACATGGCACACACCTCCATGCTGTCAAGTTGTGTGTTTAATTTTGGTGCGGCCTTGATGCCGTCCATCTGCTCACATGTAATATAATTTAAGTGGTGGGGGAGAAAACACTGGCCTCAGTTTTTAGAGATGAGGGCGAGATGCTGACAGCGCACAGTAGTAGCATTTTGGGGAGCAACACACAGTTCTGGGAAATTGCTATGCTGCATTTACAAGGGTCATTTTTTTTGAATTACTGTCACATATATACATATATATTTAATGTTATGTATTATTTTCATGACTAAATGTGGTGTTTAATAGTTCTCTTTATTTTGTAAATCAAGTAAGTGCTTTGAGGACCTGTGAGAGTCCCATTCCACTTATTTCTCGTGCTGTCACCTTTAACCTACTTAAGCTACTGCAGGATTCACACATCCTGGTCTGTTCAGACTGCAGGCACAGAAGATAGTCAGCTATTACACATTTTTTTTCTCACATGTCTGCAGGCTGTTTTAAATGAATGGAAAGATCTTCTCAACTAGTTTGAGGAATGTGTGTCTAATTCTTGTCTCCTGAAAATTCAGTTTTTTGTCATATTTGCCATGCAGCATGTTTGCTATATTTACAGTGAAAAACACAGTTGGACACCATTTTAGTCATTAAACCAGTTTATGATGTTATTGAAACTAAAGCCCCCTGATGCACACTCACTTTAAAACAACACAGCATGTTCCTGTAGCTCAGTAATTAGCAAGTGTATGTGGGTTGGTGTAAATGTTCTCAGCAGCTTATGGGCAAAGAACTGGCTAGAGACAACGGATGAATATTAGCCTATAGGGCTAACTCTGGCTCATTTCCAGTCTTTTTCTCTTGATTAATGAGACCGATCCCTATCAAATGAAGTGTAACAAAAAAAAGGTTTATATTGCACAAAAACTCTCAGCCGAGATGAGGGGTGGGCCTCTTCCACGTTGTTCTTATAGGCCTTATTACATAACCTGCAGTGGACTGAGCACGCACAGAGCTGCTTATATAAGCTGATGTGTACTCTGCTGCCACGTAAAGTCTAGCAGGTCACTCTAGTGTTCTTGCTCACATGCAGCCAACTACTTGGACACATTGTGTTAATTCATTTTTCTCTTTTGTAGGGCCTACTTGTGCTCGAAAATATTTGGAAAAACATACTATCCAGACTGAAATGCACATTTTAATTAGTATTTAAACAACAAAGTTTGTGCTGGCTGCTCATAACACAGTTGTCTATTTGTCTAATTTTCTTACAATCAGTAATTAGTTACTTATTAAGCCTTTTGATACGTTTTTTTATTATACACAACCACAGTGCAGGGCCTATCTGTTTTAAGCTGCAAGGTGTAAATTCAGCTTGATTCTGTGGCAGCTGTGTCCTCAGCTTCAAAAACCCACTGCATTTTTCTTTAATCCTTTTTCCTTCTCTCCCAGCCTTGTTTTATGAATGTAGTATTTCACTTTCTGTAAATGTGTAAAATTGGCTCTTGGGGTGGCTCCTTCTCCTCTCTGAGCTTCTTTATTGCGCAGCTGATGGTGCTACATTGAACAAAGACTGGAGCTGGGCTGACCTTCCAGGAGTTTGAGGTAGTTCCTTCTGAACTGAAAGATGTGTCCAACAGCTTAGTCTTTTTCTTTGCTTTTATTTTTAAAAGCAGTTCTGCAAAACATAGTTGTTTACAAGAAAATTTGCATTCATCTCTATTGCCATAATGTATCCACTGATGTGTTACTACAGAAAACGCACTTTTCATTGGTTAAGGGAAACTGAGCCAAGGGCCTCAACAACAGCCTGTCTTATCTGCATCATTTAACACCATTTGCTGGGGGGTGTTTCTGGTTTAAATATGTGAATGTTTCCCCTTCATTAGCCCTCGTATTTAGCATTCTGATCAGGCAAATGTTGGATGCCCTCAAAGGGCACAGCTATTAGCACAGGCTTTATCAGAGGTCCTGATTGTTAACCTGCTTACCCCCTTTGAGGCTGAGCTTATCTTTAACTTAAATCCAAACCAAAATCCAAATGACTTTTAAGCAAGGAAGATTTATTTTAATAATTGCATCTCTGAATCAGAATATTTACATGTAAGGTTACTTGTGTTCTTTCCGGAGGAAGCGTTCCTTGACTAATAGTGTCACAAATTATTATATAAATGGAGCACAGTATTGGGAGGGGGTGGGGGTTAGACAGATATTTAAATCCAACTGTAAGGACTGCGCTCTCTTGATGTCATTGGTCTGTGTTCCTCCTCCTTATATAATACCAGGCAGTCCAAATACATACTAGTCAGGGAATGCGTTTGCCTGCCTTGTGTTGGCCTTATGACAGACTATCGATCTGTCCAGGGTTTTTCCTTGCCTCTCCCCCAGTGCATGGTGGGATAGCTTCCAACCCTACGTAGTGTTTTGTAGAATGGATCAACTGAGAAAAGTTTTTCCGAAAGAACATGCCAACACATTTACATTAAGTAACGTTTAGTAATACATTGCATGAGCCAACAAAATCCAGACACTACTTCTTCAACTGAATGCTCTGCAAAAACAAGTTTAGGTAATTTATTCAGGTCACACACGAGTTATCATTTTCAGCTCACTGGCAGGCTACAGAGACAATCAAGTCAAACATCACACAAGATGCTTGTGGGTCCTGGAGTGTTCAAAAACACCACCCGAGCTTTAACAGGCATGCTCCACCATCAGTAATTAGTCACTTTTACTTTGCCTGTGAGTTTCTTTTCTCCTTCATTTGTTTTGCACTTGAGTAACCTAGCCCTTGTTTGCCCGGTTTGAAGTCATAACGGTAGCGCTTGCCCAAGAATGACGGATTTGTTATTTGTTTGGCAGCTGAATTTAGGATTGATGCTGGACTTTAATCACTATTTTACCATCCAGTACAGAGCATCAGCCTGTAATCCAAGGCATTTAGCATACAAACGGCTTCATTGTGTTATTGCTGTATAGCTTTCAGTTCAGCTCAGCACAGAGCAAAGGCGTCTGTGTTATATTTTAATGCTTGGAATTATTGTTTTGCAACTTTCTGTTAAATAACACAATTAAAACTTCACTAAGTGTCTTAGTCTCCAACTTTCCTTTCAGCCCACACCTTGGGAGAAGATCTTCAGCAGAGTTTACTATAGGTCATTGACAGCTAGTAACCTCACAGCACACACAGCTCCTGGCAGTATGTTATTTGACTAGCTTACAAACCGCATTGTTGAGAGCCCAACCGATGAGGTCTGAAACTCTACTGGTGATTGGCTGGGTGAGTTGCAGTCTCCAGGCAGAGGTGTTGGGTTTCAGCTTGTGGGGACGTTTTGTTCTTCTGTGTAGTGAACCGTCTGACATTCTGCCTTCTGGGGGAACAGACACTAGGTTGGGGGAGAAAACATTAAAATGAGACTGGTTTCATAGATGGGCAGAACAGACTGGAGAGAGTTTAGTTGACTTGGTTGTCTCTGTTATTTCAAAAGATACAACATGCTCTTTTTTTTCCCTCCTCTGGCACCAGAGCACATTTAAAAACTTGACTATAAAGTTCCCTCCTCTGGCACCAGAGCACATTTATGCTTCAAGACAGAGTTGATTTTAAAGTAAACAAACACTGCATTTTAGGATATTTTACCATTCAAAATATATTGGTTCAAAGACTGGGTAAAACAAATCAGGTGAAAAACTTGAATCATCTCATCCCCATCCCCTCAGTTCAGCTCTGCAGCCAGTGACCTATTTTCAGATATTCTTTGTCAGTCTTCAGCCCTGCTTTAATTGAATTATTCCAGCCAGGCAATCAAGTATTCAAACATTCCTGCAGCACCCCGCACAACCCCCCACCCCCCGCCCCCCACACAACCACTGTTTTGAATAGCATTTTATTTCTCCTGTATTGTGTTAGCATACACAGGAGTATTATGACCTCTTAATGGTTTGATTATGGGTTATCTATGAAGGACAAAGCAATGATGAGGTGTATACAATGTAAAACAGTAGGCCAGGAGACTTTGGTGTCAGTGCACACTTCCTGGCATTCATTCTGCATTTCTGGTGTGTTAGTGAGCACCAGTCTAAAGAACAAGGCAACACTCTGATTACTCTAGTGTTTTCTTTTTTTGTTTTGTTTTTTTAAAGTTCACTTCACGGATGACTCTGTAATGATGCATGTGCAAATGTGTCTGGATAGTGATGCATATTGGTCCCTGACATGGTGAATCAAACAAACTGAATCATACAGAGGAGGGGTCTAGTTGCTGATGGTGAGTCTGATGCAGCCTGGCAATCTGTCGCAGAAAGAGACAAGATTTAAGTCCTGTGATTCTGCCGAGCCAAGTCACTCTCATGGGAGTCACAGTGAATTAAACTCTATCATCTGCTCGAATGCCCTTTCGGTTCAGCACGGGGGTCATCTGTACATTCTTTTGTCTCTCGGGATGTCACGTTGGTCACAGGCCTGTGTAAAACCGGTGTTTAAACAGCCTCTGTTTTTTAAAAGGCTGCTCTGACACATCAGTTTTAAATGTTTTGCCCACTCAGGAAACATTTCAAAAAAGGCAATATTGCTAGAAATTTGCAGAAGTCTTTTTGTCCATCTCAACAAATCAGCCTCAAACACCATGCTGGAGACACTGTATGTGGATTTATGGACTCTTGTTTCTCCCATGCCCTGAGTGTAGGATAGAGCTTGACAGGTGCTGAGGCAGCACATCTCCGCCTGAGCAGGCTGATCCTTGAACAGCCGTCTAGGAAGCTATCTGCTTAGTATGGAGGACAGGCAGGTATAGATAGAAGTACAGGAAAAATATGAGTAAACAGTTTCTAGAACAGCTGGGAAGTGTTGAAAATTTGTACAAAACATTTGCTTGTGCCGCAATCATAGCAGGTTATTTGAGTTTTCATTGCTGCACAAAGCTGAAACAGAAACGGCGTGAGAATTTTGTTACATTCTGCGTGTGAAGCAACTGTGCATTGTCGGTGTTAGTCATGTTTTCGTGATGCTTGACAGCGTGCGTATCTGATGCATATCATTCACCCGCGGGGAATTCAGACAGGAACAGCTGTCGATGAACTGTAGTTACCTCTGTTAACCTGTCCTACTGTACAGTGTATAATGGGTGTTTTCTTCCAAGCTACAGTTGGAATTTTTGGCCTGAGCTCAGCAAAACACGCACACCTGTTTACACACATGTGAGCACCCACAAGTCAGATGTCTTTCTCAGCAGCCCAGAGGCCACAAGTTACATATCTAAGACTACAGTGTCACAAGTGGTTGGTTAAGCGACACAATACTGAGGTTTAAGTGTCACAACAATAACAGTGGAGGACTTGAAGCGTTTAATATATTAAAATGTCTTGCTCAGTGGTACAGTGACCAATATTAACCTCTTCCCAATCCCCGCTTGAACTTGAGTAACCTCCGCAGCTTGCCCTATAGTGACTCTTTGTCGGCACCCTGTAGTAAACTCCCAGGCAAGTCGGCCCTATTGTTTGCGTCAGGCAGGTAGCAAACTAGCAGCGCTCCATCACATGATGCCTGCTGGGCCTGACACAATAGAGCACAGTGTTTGTGTGTGTGTGCGCGTTGGAGGGAATGGGATGTTTAACACCATATCAAAGCACTGTTTGTTATGCCTGAGGCTAGTCAGCCATGGGGCTTCGTTGTTATGGTCTGGCTTGATCAGGGGTGGTGTAAGCTGACTTTGAGTGCCTCATGGCTGCTTTTGCTGCTGTCGATACTCCTTGGAAGCACTGAATGTATGCCTGGACGGGGTGTGTCTGTGTTGTTGCATGCTGAAGCAGTTACAATACAACACACGCGTGTTCTGCGACCAGGTGTGCCGCGCTCCCTCAGGAGTCTGGGTTTTTAGTCCCATAAGATGACGGAGGAAACATCACCTTCAGCTCACTCACATGTTCCCTGTAGTTACCACGAGACATCTCAGCAAGATGCGCTTTCTACATAAACAAAACACAATGGGTTTATGTAAACTTTAATAAAAGGGATGTTGTGTGCTACCATCCCCCTCCACTCAAAATGTCCCTTTAAACCCTCTCAAATATCCCGAGGCCAAAGTGTGACCTGATTTGCACAAATGAAAAATGTCTCTCTTTGCATCATGCCTCAAAGAGAAGGGGTAGCTCATGGGAAATTTCTTAGCGGAAATAATGAGCAGTTTGAGGCGCAATTTGCTTTAGTCTTAATATATTGGGGTGTGATGGGCCAAAATATTCACAGCATTTCTTTACACATTAAACTGCTACTGCTACAGGAAGCTGAAGTCATGGTTTCAGTTTCTCGTATTGGAAGGTGAAGTCTATAGATAAGAGCATACAGTGTGTGTTGTGTTCAATCTGGTAGGGTTACTTTAGGTCACTGTGTGCAGGGACCCTGTTACACTGAGGCTGGGTATAAAGTTTTGTTTATTGTGGGAGGAAGTCAAAGTCAAGACGTTAAAATGAAAGAACTCAAGTCACCAGGCGCAGCAACAGGAAGAAAGCTGCCCAACTGGTTTGTGTTCACACAAGCAGGTGACCTGAATCAGGCTGGTGCCTCTGCAGTCTTCTTAGATGTTGCCCTAGGTCATTTCACGGAGGGATCTGTTTAGGTCACTTTAGTTCAACGTTCTCCGTGATGCAAGGACTGAGTCAGGCAGGGTGTTACTCCTTTTGACGTCTCATCTCCTGCTGCGAGAAGGGAAGAATTCCTCACATCTTCTGGTCAAAACAATGGAAAGGCCCTGATCTGCCATGGCTTATTTTTTTGGAGAATTTCGCTGTTTTCCTTGGCCACGCCAGAACTCGGTGTTCTCATTTAATCGTTCAGCTCAAACAATAACAATATTTGTTTTTGACCACTATTAATCTTTTGAACTATTTTCTCATCTGTCACTTCATAAGCCCACCTCATTTTGAACAAGGAGAGTGGTCCCATAGAAATCCACACACACACACACACACACACACACACACACCCACACACACACACACATACACACATACACACATACACACATACACACATACACACATACACACATACACACATACACACATACACACATACACACATACACACATACACACATACACACATACACACATACACACATACACACATACACACATACACACATACACACATACACACACACACACATACACACATACACACATACACACACACACCCAGCCCAAAAAAAAAGGAAGGAAAAAAAAGTCTGGCAACACAAGATTGGTAACTTGGCTTGTGTTTAAATGGACACATTGCAGGAGATTATTGAATCACATTTTTTATTCAACGAGACACGGACGGGATGCTGGCCGTTGTAACTCCTTTTCTAAGCTTTGTTACTGCATTCAACATTGAGGTTTAACACTTTACAGTTCAAAGTAGTGGTTACACATTACATCACACATATGCGGTACAAGCACAATTGGCCATTGAGTCAACAGGTTAAATGTTCCTTTAAACTTTCTCTACACGAGAAAACTGCCATTCAGTCCTTTAACGTCTTCTCCTCTCTCAGCTTCTACTTTCAGAGCCTATAGTGAGTTCACACCACACAAGGAAGTTGTAATAGCATGTTTTTGAGGAAGAGATTGAAAAAGAGAAAGTGGAATCATCGTGACAACTCAGCAAATGTCACAGTTGCCTTTTTCTTTCTGCTACACACACACACACACACACACACACACACACACACACACACACCTGCTGTCTTTGGTGAAATTCTAGCTTTATAATGACCACCTGCTCTACCCTGTGTCTGCCCCTGACGTCGTGACTCCTCAACCATCACACGTGGTGCTCAGCTGTCCATGAACGCATGGACGCTGCTTGGAGCACGAACATGTTTGGGATAGGACACACACAGATAGAAAACGTAATGTAATTATTTATATAGAGACATAAATTGTCTTCGTGTAATTCAGTTGAAATGTGTTCACCAAAGGCTTTTCCTCAATAGACCACAATAAGATTTCCATTTTGACCCATGTTCTGTTTTCTTTCTGTCCACCAGACACCTCTTCTTCATGCACGTGAAGGAGGACCTCCATAACGGTCACCTCCGTATGGGCTCAGAACAAGCAGAGGAGCTGAGCGCACTCCTGGCACAGGCCGAGTTTGGCGACTACAACCAAAACACAGCCCAGTACTGGTACTCAGAGCTGTGTGGAGAGGAGCCCAGCACAGCCACTATTGACAGGTACAACAATATCTCAGAAACTCAGCATAATCTTGTAGGGCAGCCCAAAATTCATATTGTTCACATCTCCACATCTGACTGCAATGGAAACATTACACTGATCTGGAAACCTGAAAATATCACTAATGATGATGGAAGTTTGGGGGTAATTTACCCAAATAAACCAGACTTTGAACAGAATTTGATCTCTTAAACGTGCAGATTAGCATGGTTCTGGCCAGTCATTGAACCTGTTGACCTTTTCTCTGTCAGCGCTCCTTAAGCTCTGCCCCCTCACTATCTCTGAGGGAGGTAGGACTCCACCCCATAAAGACATGACCAAAAGTAAATGATGCATCATGCCCATGAGACAACAATGGTATAACATGACAGCTGGTGTTGAAGGAAATGAAAGGAAAGAAATCTTAAGCAAAAAAACAAAAACTGCTTCACTAATTTGAACTGATAGTGGTGTCTTTTATATTTGCAGTGTTTTCCTACATTGTCATGCCTGCCTTTTTTTTTTTTTTTTTTTTTTTAATCTGAGGTGGAAGACTTAGAGGGTACATTAGACATGGCCACACTGTGTGTGTGTGTGTGTGTGTGTGTGTGTGTGTGTGTGTGTAGCCAGTTTGACAGCGAACACACACACGCAGATTAGCTGAACAGAGCAGCTGACAAGAGATCAGATAGCATGTGTTTGCAGAATTCCACTGACAGATTCTCCCACTGTACATCTTGAGTGTTTTCTCCGTAAACAAAAAGAGCATGACAAAGTTTCACTACTGCACGGATTTAGACTTTTCTTTTTCAGTCGGTGTCTCTTGCTCTTATGTAAAAGGGGGGGGGGGGTTACATGTCTGTGCCCAGGGTCCCTTTGTCTCATAATTCATCCATGCCCAGCCTGCCTACAACTGTTGGGACTTTGTCCAGAAACTTCTGCAGTATTTCCATTTTGTAGTTAAAGCCTTTGGAGTGCCTTCTGGAACCATTTGTTGTGCACATGGTACCGTTCCTCAAATGTTCAGCCTCTTAAATTATACAATATCAAGCCCCATCTGCCAAACCTGTTACGTTAAACATTTTATCCATGTGCCATGTTGAACCAGCAGGCACCGCTGTTCATTGCTCCACCTACACTTAACCCCAGCCTGTTATGTATGCATGATGCATTCTCCAGCAGCTATTTTCTATAAATGTCATAGAATCATGCTCCAACTTGTAGATCAATGCGGTATACATATGCCACTATGAATTTCTCACCACAGTCTGTAAGAATTAGGAGGCTTCCCTGGCCAAGACAAGCATTCAGCTGTGCTGCCTAAGCATTGATCGTTTAAGTATAGTTGTCAGAAACGTAGCAGTTTAACATCAGCGCTTTCTGCCTGAAGGCGTTTGCAGCGTTGACGGATAAAACACACTCTAGTCTTGCATTTAACCTGCTTGTATAATACACCTGTCACAGTGGGTGTTTCTTGATATAAGATCATCTTAGTCATAAAGCTTGTGTCAGAAAATGTCCAAAAGTGTGAAATAAACTTTTAAATGATTGTCCTTCTTTCCCTCTCTTCCCCACCCTCCTCCTCCTGCAGTATTGTATCCAGACATAAAGCTCTAGAAGGTTTGAGCCAGGGCTCAGTGGAGTATCAGGCCCTGCAGCTGGTCTCCTCTCTGGAGCACTACGGCGTGGAGTGGCACTGGGCCCGCGATGCAAATGGGCAACGGATGGCTATAGGAGTCGGCCCAGAGGGCATTGCCATTTGCAAAGAGGACTTCAGCTTAGTCAACAGGTATGCTACACCTAGAAATACTAATAAGTCTTTGCATATTTTACTGATGGGAGTTTATGGTGCATTGGGTATCAAAAAGGCAAGTTGCATGCATGTTTTTGTCTTTAACAACGTTCAGTATGTAACCATTTTCTTCTTTCTTTCGTTATTTTAGAATAAGCTATCCCGTCATTCAGATTGCCACCCAGTCGGGGAAAAGTGTGTATCTGACAGTTACCAAGGACACGAACGACAGTGTGGTGCTTCTGTTCAAGCTGATAAGTAACCGAGCAGCCAGCGGTCTGTACCGGGCCATCACAGAGACCCACGCCTTCTACAGGTGAGCGCTAAAGATCTACAGCATTTAATCCCAGATCAGTGGCTCGCATACACTCTGAGGATATAGAATGAAGCTGTGCAGACGCAGTGGATTGGAGTGGATTCAGGCCCTCTAATAACTTCGCACAAAGTCAATAAAGCCTTTAATTAGTAGAGACAGTTAGTCAGTTACGGACTGTAGCTCTCCTCATATGGTGAGCAAAGATAAAAGTTAAAATTAATTTAAGCTCTGCTGCTAAATTGAGTTCTGTTTTTCTATATGACAAGTCTGTCAGCAGTCTTGGCTACAGCTCTTAGTCATTGCACTAGTATGACCTGCTTTAGAGCACACCTCCAAGCCACATCTTGTTATGATAATGTAAAGCAGTTTATTGTCCTTCACTAAAGACCAGTAGATTATGAGGTGGAGAAAAACCTGACCTATACGTGTTCTGTAGAGACTCATTCTGCTCTACTTGGCTAGCTTTCTGAGTATGCATTTTCCCACATTTGTACACACTGACTAAGTGTGTTCCTGTTCCCTTTTTACCCATTTTTATGGTATAAATACATGCAAAGTGGGACACACAGCCACATAAAACATGTCCTTGACCCGAATGAGTGTTGATGGAAACATGGATTGCAAAGGACAATCTTAAGTGGGCAGAAATGGCATTTTTACTTTCCATAGGCAGCGTGTGCGTGTGTGTGTAAAATTTGCAGTGAGCAGGGACAATTCAAATGGCTGAGCTATGAAATTGTTCTCAGTCAAAAGGTACAAAAGACAGCCATGTCCTTTTGTTTCAGGGATGGGTTTTAGCTCAGAGTCTGCAGATTTTTCTTTTTTTTTTCATGCATGTCTTCATCCTGCTGCTCAGAAAAAAGTGTTCAGTCTTTATCTCACTGTGGTAAATGTGGCATCAGAACAGGATGAACATCAGGTGGCTAAATAAACCGTGCAAGGGGAATATTAAATAAACAGAAACTCTTTTGAACAATGAGTGCAAGAAAAGGTCTTACTGCAGAGAAATCCATTAGTTAAGGCGGATGATTTTATCAAAACTTTTTTTTTTTATTTCCATTTCCAGGTGTGACACAGTTACAAATGCAGTGATGATGCAGTACAGTCGAGACTTCAAGGGCCACCTTGCTTCACTCTTCCTCAACGAAAATATCAACCTGGGCAAGAAATATGTTTTTGACATCCGGCGCACTTCCAAGGAAGTGTATGACCACGCCCGTCGCGCACTCTACAACTCTGGTGTCGTGGACCTGGTGTCCCGCTCCGGCAGCGGGGAACGCTCCTCTCCCTCGCGCTCCCCAAGCAGGGACAACCAACAGGACGAGGGGCTGGACTGCGGCAGCTGCCAGCAGAGCCGAGCTCTGCAGGAGAGGCTGCAGAAGCTCAGAGAGGCTCTGTTGTGCATGCTGTGCTGCGAGGAGGAGATAGATGCTGCGTTCTGCCCCTGCGGCCATATGGTGTGTTGCCAGACCTGCGCAAATCAGCTTCAGGTGAGACTCTTCTGAAGACTCTTCTGTGAAAGACTGAGTTTATTAGCCACAGGAGGAGGTGAAGGGGGGGTCAGCACTACCTTAGAAGTAGTACTTGTAGTAGCTTGAAAACCAAAGTTTTACTTTGTTTTTTGCTTGGTCCCAGACTTAAGACACCCCAGCATGCTCTGAGTTGGCAGCTATAACGAAAGCTCTTTAATTATACTTAAGTTCCAACCTCTCATCCTTTTATGGTCTTTTAAGCAACATCCAAAGCTTTGCTTACACTCTGCTGACCTGATTGTCCCTTCACTTAATCAGCTAAATGTTGCCCATCTTTGTGAAAGCAGATGGTGTGTGTGTGTGTGTGTGTGTGTGTGGGGGGTGTGTGCACGCACACATGTGAGTTTGTCTTTATGAAGGGATTATAGCAGCCAGGCAAATCTCCCTTCCATTAACTCAACTAGGAGACGTGACCCAGCTAATAGATGTGTGTGAATGAGTCAGTAGAAACTTAAGACAAGAGAAGGAAAGAAAGTTCCTGTGATTTCAGCAAAGCTATGGAAACAGTTTTCACATCGTAGCAGTTTTTAATGATTTAACTTGCCTTGGCTTCTACTGTAAGATATTTTCCATAGTGTCTTTGAATCTTAACAGTGATATTTTGTCTAATGACCTGAGTGATAACGAATTAGTTTCCTGAATGAAAGCTGTTCTTTGTGATTATGTTACATATTCTCTTAGCTTGCACCTGTCTTTGCTGGTTTTGAGATTTCTTTTGGGTTCTAGATGAAGTCTGGATAAGCACGGCAAAATATATTTCCAATATTGACAGTAATAATATATTTGTTCAAATTTAGCTCAGCTTCACTTTTCCAGCTCTTTATCACATCCAACCAGAGCTAACATGTAACTCTTTAGCCTTTGTTTATTTTCTGATACTCAAATACTAGAACACTATGTGCCTAATCCTTTTCCTTTCTATTCCCTCAGTTGTGTCCTGTGTGTCGATCAGAGGTGGAGCACGTGCAGCACGTCTACCTGCCCACCTGCACCAGCCTGCTGAACCTGACGCTGACCGACAACCACAAACACCACAGCAACATCCCAGCACCCATCCACAGAGACACGGCCTCTCCTCACACCTGCTCCACCACCGAGTATGAACATAAGATCTACCACACATAAAGGCAACTCCCACTAAAGCCACCAAACTCCATTACAAACACTTTGAAGCTGTACCAGCCGGATCATGGTTTCATAAAGAAGGAACATTTCTCGTCCCTCTGTGTTTCCTGCCCGGAGCTACCAAACGCATAGGAACTCTGAGCATAATCAAAGATCAACACACTCAAACCACTCCCTCAACTAGTGTGTGTGTGTGTGTGTGTGTGTGTGTGTGTGTGTGTGTGATTGTTATTTCTTTGTGTAGTTGCTTCTGAATATTTTTTATTTTTTTTTGTGTGCATCATTCTGTCCAAATCTTGTTTGTTTTAAACATCATTATCCCCTGCCACAACATGGTTTTAGATTAGGCTCTTATTGTCCTTGTTCATTAAATTATTGCATCAGTTGACCTGATACAGAATAGAAACATTGTTTTATTTTTGAATTATGCTTTTTTTATTTGTTGTTTTGCTCGTTTTTCTTTGGTCCATATCAGGCTCCAAGCCTCACAACCCGAACCATATGATGAACTGTGTTTTACAATAGCTAAACACTGTGTGTAATGGTTGAGTCTTTTTTTTCTTTTTTTTCTTCTTTTTTTCATTTACAAAGCATCCTGACATTTTAAAACTTATGTTTGATTTGAGCTGAATTTTTATGGTGTAACAGAGTGAAATGCATTTTTATATATTTTATTTTATTGTTTGTTTTTCATGTTCCATGTTTTTCATGCCAATGAGGATGTGTTTAGAGGCTAAGCAGCACTGCTCTGGGTGTAGCACTGCATTATTAGACATAACAGCTCTCTTCTTGTAATCACGGGGTCGAGTGGGGGTCTTGAAGGTTTTCTTTAGCCCACCAGAACTGTATCTTACTGACACTCCCTCAACCTCTCACACTTCGAAACGGGTCTTGATGATTAACTGCCACTTTGTCCAAAACAACAAGCCTTAATAGGCTGCTGCACCTTTTTACATATGTGTCTCCATGCCAACAGAAAGGTAGAAATTAAGAGCACTAAAAGCCTTTTCTTAGTAGACACAGAACTGCAGTTATTTATGGAAAAAGAAATAGGAATTTGTCCAGAAGCAGCTGCTTCCTCTGAAAACCTCAGCTATAAATTTCTTCTCTGGGTGTACTAGTGACTTCCTTTTGATATTTTAAAGGGTACTAGGAGATCTGCCTGTGCAATACTTGCTTGCTTTTTGAAAAGCTTCTCACTTTCAAGTTTTATTTAATTTCAAAGACTATTGAGAAAGAGAGAGAGGGAAAAAAAGAAAATTACATTGTCACTTTATCAAGGAAGTTTTCCATGTGTCTGTAGGGGGTTTGGCCTTAATGTAGCAGCAACACTGTTTATTATAAACTTTCCACAGACTTTTTTTTTCTTTTTCTGGCAAGAAAAGGAAAACTTTATTTCTTTTAATGCTGACTCGATTAAGCTCAGTCACTGCAGGGGAAGGACTTTTTTTTATTTTTTTTTTTGTTTTTCATGTTGTACCAGTAGCGATTTGTTTCTGTTTTCTGAAGCAAAAGCCACTATGCTCTGTAAAATAACTCTTAGAATTAAATCTTTTTTTTTTATATATATTCTGCTTTTAACAAAAGAGAAAGTATTAATAAAGTTGTTTTATAAAAACAAAGACCCTGGAGTTGTGAACCATGTTTTTTTGTTTGTTTGTTTTGTTTGTTTTTTTGTGCATCTCCTTGTGAAAGCTCCTTATTCAGAGCCAGTAAAACCAAAGAATGACTTTCAAGAGTAATAATATACTGTATTGCATGCTGGAATAAATACAGGTTGTTTAGGTGCACTAATGATTTTAATGGGTACTAGACAGTAGGATCCACTAGAAACATCTCAAAATAAATCTTTTTTTTTTTTTTTTTTTCTCCTTGCTTCCTTTTCTAAAAATTTTGTTTTTTGAAATGCTGGATATTTTTACATATCAGAGAAGGAAACAACTGCTCGCAAATCTTGTCCACTGCAGCCACAACCTATGATAAGAGGGTTTTAAAAGGTAACCAAATCAAAAAAGTTGGAAACAACTGCACTGGGGTGATTAGCTACCAGCCATTTCCCTCATAACACTGTCACATTCATAAGATGAGGCCTTTGTTCCAAGGGGCAGATTTACTGATAGATAATGACTGGAAAGTTTTTACACAGTGTAGCCACATGGAACCTCCTTAAATTAGACCAATGTTAATGTCAGTCATGAGACTTGTTTTTGGTTTTACTCAGAAAAGTTACTAAGAAAAGCCAGTGAACCTGCTGTGTTAAAATAATCAGTGCCCAGAGGTTTCTGATAAGACATGCTAAGAAGAGTAAGGGCAAAATGGTTTTGTTATGACCTGTAATGCTGTGTGAGTCGGATACCTGCCATGACTTTAGTCATCAGTGTCTACAGCACCCTAGGTGGATATAACACTAAAAGGTCAGTGCATCATTTGTCACTGTCAGGCTGGGAAAAGCGAGCTGAAAGCTGCACAGTCTGTGGCGCAAAGACGCTCTCTGTGTTGATGAGAAATGACAAGCTCCACTGGACTGTGATTCTAAAGTCTAAAAATGAGAGTTAAGAACAGCAGCTATTTATTAGTTTGACTTTATCCCCTCTCTGAACCCCTCTGTCTTTCCATGACCTTCTGCATCTCTCCTCTCTCTTCTCTTATCTGTTTTGTCGTTCTCAAGCATCACTGGCATTAAATGAACTTCAAGGACACTAATGACAGCCGGTGGGTGGTGGGGTTGGAGGTATCCATGCAGAACCCCTGTGTTATTGTAGGTCAAAAAACAACACAATAAGTAGCCTAGCATCAAATAGACTACTATCTGGCTGTAAAGTTAAACGTTTATCTTCAAGATACAAGAAAGTGAAATGAAAAACATCTATAAATGGGACCTTTACAGGCCTGGCTTCAGAACAGTGGCACATATTGTTCTGTTCTGTTGAAGTCACCAACAACTGTGTTTTGTTTTTACCATCTGCATCTCTCACACAGACTCTCATGTATGCACATGTAGACACAAACAGGGCCGTGTCCCGGCTTCTGCGCAGCTGAAGCATCAACACATAGTTGAAGCACAAACAGGAAAAAGTCATGTCAGGAAAAAAGGTGGATAAGCTTATGGTATTATTCTACATTTCTGGAGAAAGCAGTGGAAAAGCATGAAAAAGGCTGTGGACACATAAGCTCTTTGAAATGTGAAAATCTGGGAACGTTACGTATTCCTTTGTCACACTAATCCAAAATGTATCTAATACCACACATAACTGCATTAATCTCTTGTTGAGAAATATCCAACAAAATATGGATTTTGCAGTGGGTGGTGGCATGTGGAGCCGATGTCAGAGGAAAAATAGGAGAAGAAAACTAAAAGGGCTTAGCGGTTTCATTGAAATCTGCGGTTTTTGGATTTGCCTAATCTGTTGCATATTTATGTTCTACTTGAATCGTGTTTCAATAAAAGGCCTCTGGCATGTAGGCCATCTACAACCCTCTTAATGATTTGTTGAGACAACTGAAGGCTATGTTCACCATTTTAATAGTAAATCTTTATTTAAAGCCCATAGTACATTCAAACATATCTCTAAATGTTCTGCAAAAAAATACTCAAAACATTATTTGCATTGTATCAGCTTATTTTGCAAATATCTCTTTTCTAGTGTGGATGTGGCCAACAGCAATAGTCGATAAATCCTAACATGAGCATGGTTTGTCACCTATTTTTAACAGTAAAATGTATGTGGCCACACTAAACTGTGAGCTAACGTTGTATATGTTGTTACTGGTGAAGCTGCAGCAGTTCATCTAAACTATTAGTGAAGTTGTGTTATTAGTTAATATCAATGATGGAAAACAGCATGATTTAAACACAGGCAGCATCAAGTGTTTCCTTTAAATGAATCCCCTGTTATAAATATCTTAATTTATGAAATCCCATCCTATACTTAACAGATCCTTATCTAACACTTTTCACTGTTGACCTCCAGTGTGTTTATCGACCCGTGCTTTTCACTTCCTTTACGTCCACTGTCAAACCCTGGCAGAGATGTTTTCCACTGGCCTGTACTGCTGCTATCAGTGCTGAATGACTTCACGGTTGCGTGCTGAGAGCCAATGTCACATTTCTCTTGCGCCTCTCACACAAACATCTGCTACCGGTGTATACTCCACTTGCCAAGACCCAATGACAGAAAGTTCAGTTTGACTCAGTGCAGCTCAAAATTTCACTTTTATTTCAGACTAGCCTTCATGCAATGATGTTTTTATGCCTTACTATACTATGACTTTGAGATTTTTATGCCTTAATTTACTATGACTTTTTATTCCTTATTATACTATTACATTTTTCTGCCTTACTATACTATGATTATTTATACCTTACCATGGTATGATATTTTCCTGCCTTACTATACTAATTTACTATACTATACTTTTTATTCCATACTATACTATGACCTATTATGCCTTATTATACAATGACATTTTATGCCTTGATATACTATGTTTTTATGCTTTAGTAATTTATGACTTTTTATGCCTTACTATAGTATAATTATTTATGCCTTACTATCCTATGATGTTTTTATGCCTTACTATACTATGATGTTTTTTAATGCCTTATTATATAATGACCTTTTATTCCTTCACCATACAATGACATTTTTATGTCTAACTATAGTATGGCCTTTTAATGCCTTACTATACAATGACTTTTTATGCCTTATAATGCTATGACATTTTGATGCCTTACTATACTATACTATGACCTTTTTATACCTTACAATACAATGACTGTCACACAGGACCCAAGTGGGAACATCAGCTCCCTCACCAAAAAAGTCCAGCAGAGGATGTACATCCTGCAGCAGTTGAAGAAGTTCAACTTGCGAAGGACAGTAAAGTTGAACTTCTACACGTGCCTTGGCCAACACTGACTGAATGATAGTTAAGGGTAGGAGCTTGTTTATGACTTCAAAAACAGACTTCAGAAATAGGATTATCATGTAGTGTCCAATTATATAATATTTAATTCAATACACAAGATAATGTTATACGTATGAGGCAACGAGGCAGGGAGTCCACAGAGGAAAATAGAACCATAAAGTCTATTCAATTCCTCTGCAAAGTGTGTCTCTGAACACTTGCCATGCTTTTTTGTTCACTCAGAATGGCCTTTGACATACTTCTCTGGAGTTTGAGCTTGTTATTGTTATTTTTACACTTACGCCTATTTAAGTGTAATCCATGCAGAAGCCAGGGCCAACTGAGAGAAACGACATGCTGCACATTTAGCTTGATGTCGTCTCCTGGATGCAAATTTCTAGTTCATCACTTCATAATATCCCAAAGTGAAGCTGCAAGTATTCCCTGGTTGGAAAAGATTCTTCTTCATCCTTCGTTACCTGAGTCACTTACATAGAAAACAAATAGAATTTTTAAGTTCTTATCATTTCAACTCATGCCAGGGAAAGCACATCAAAGATTCTCACCAACTTCAAGCACACCCACTGGCATGTGGTTTTCACATCTGCTTGGCCCAATGACACACACTGTCAAGGGAAACACAACTTGTCTGAATGTGTTTGATGGCACCATCAGCTGGTAACTGAGTACGTGGTAAGACAGTCTAGTCTCTGTGTGTGTGTTCTGTGTGTGTGTGTGGGTTTACCTGCATTCTTTCCAAAGTTTTAGACTGGTAAAACAGCCTGCCAGTGCAAGGCTACACAATGTTCTCCATGCAGAGAATTTTAAGTGTCCTCACTGGCACGTCCACTTCATATGTAGTTAAATTAAAGTCTTGAGCAATATAGACATTAGAGGCTTTACATTCACTGCAAACACCAAAACGATGTTCAACTTTTAAGATGAAGAGACATTCTTATTGTTATGAGTATTTATTTCTAAATCACAAAGGATAGCATGGAGTGCATAGACTTGCTTCTTTATCAAAGTAAAAAATAATCTAGTCCACACAAAAGCTAGTACAGCTAGAAAAACAAATGCTAGATACCATTTTCTGGCAAGTATGAATATGTTATTTGTGATAGTGATTACTGTCTATATACTTAAATGGGTAATCCACAGCCATGCTACTGGTGCTGTGTGAGGCACAGCTAATGGATACTGGCCATTCTAGCAAATGCTAGTAGCCTATGTTGTACTAGCTAATGCTAGACTACATACTAGCTAACGCTAGTATGGCAAACTGTTCATAATGACAATGCTAACATGCTGACGTTTAGTACAAATAGTTGTTGAAACATTTCACTCAAAAACACAAATGTGAACATCATGGTGGTGCTACAGGAAAAGTCAGGTGATCACCAAAGTCATTAGGATCCATCATCTGGGAACTATGAATGTCTGTAGAAAATGTCATGACAATCCATCTAGTAGTTAAGATAATTAAGTCTGGACCAAAGTGGTGGACCAACTCAGACATTGACATCTCTAGAGCCACTCAGCTAAAATGCTAAAAATGAGTAAAGTAGTAAAAGCAACAAACAAAGCATTTAGCTACACAGCCTGTGGGACAGAAAACTATTATATAGGTCAGTTTCTGAACAATAAGTAAAGCATAAAGTATGTTAGTTCAACAGTGAGAGTGACTCCTGCCGTACAAGCAGTAAAACCTGCATGTGCATAAACAGATATCTACTGTTGCACTTTCACCCACTTCCTGCATCAGACTTTAACTCAGACGAACACCTGGGGCTCCAGCTGTGGCTGAAACAAGCTGACGCAGGATTCATGGAGTACAGAGAGTTAAAGCCAAACCGTTCTTTTCTTATCAGTATAATCACTATAAAAGCCTTTAAAGAGGTGACCTTACTCAGCACCCTCTTATCAGTGCAGTTTAGTGTGACATGCACAAGGGGTTAAAGAGCAGTGGGTTTATAGCTGCTCAGAGTTTTGGATTATTCTGAATTTATCAGTTATACACTAATGAAGCATGAGGTTATGACATCATTGTGTCAATCTTGTTTATGGCATTATTTTATTAAAAAAAAAAAGGGAATTTACCTTCACACAGGACATCATTTCAGTTCAGTCAATTTGTAACAATTTCCATAAAATTATTTGTCTCTTACTTAACGTGATTACTTGACTGAAATTGAAACACAGAGTTTACACTGAAACATTTTGAAGAATAAAGCTCATTCTCTTTCCTCCTTTGTACAAGCTTGCAGTGCAGGAAATGAGAAAATCTTGCAGAAAACATTCACTTTTTTAGTTTTCATGCTTTCAGGAAAAGCTACCTCCTGCATAGAACCAATACAAAGAAACCCCAGTTAGAAACAATATAACTGGGCTGTAAAGGCAGTGGCAAATAGACACATAAATATCACAAAGGCACATCTAGTTGCCAGGAAACACTTTAATGAGTTTTGACCCTGGCACTCAGTGTGCTCCTTATTTAGCAGCTGTTTTCTGTAACTCTGCTGACATCTGCTGGTCTGACTTTGTACTAACAGCTTTACATGGATTTAAAAAGGATAGACAAAAAAACTGATACCTTTAAATTTTAAGTATTTTATAAATGCAGTTTATGAATACCAAATAACTTGATCACACTCACCCGAAGTTGGTCAGAATGGTTGAATAGCTTTCAATGGTTTCACTGCAACTGCTCTCCTGCTAAACTCTCTTGACTGACTCTGACTCTCATCAGTTGCAAATTGCTCCTCAAAGATCTGTATCTATGTAACTTCTAAGTTTTGGTTTTGTATTTTGGGCCCACTTAAAAATTGCTAGTATTATAGTTTTTAAGACTAAATTATGTTTAATACTTAATTAAGATACCAATCCGGTATGTTTTAAGATGCATAAAAATACTTTGAATACTACTACTACTACTACTACTTCTACTACTACTATGAATATGGAAATATTGTTAATTTGAAAAGTTGAACCACTGGAAACAAGGTGCATCCTATTTCACTGAAAAGTCCATTTTCACTGTGTGGTGTTGGAGGCAATATATACATTTATATTTAGAAGGATTGGCATCCAAACAAAATTCCTTCTCATATACTATATCTATATATATATATATATATATATATATAGATATATACACACACATGGCTTCAACTCAGATTTCGGTTGAGCACAGAGAAACTTTCCCCTTCAGCGGATCAATTTGAAAACAGCATTTTAGTATTTAGTATTTAGCATTTAGCATTTAGAACTCTGCACATCGATCATTATGTGACAGTGAGACAGCCAAGTGAAGTAACAATAAGCAAACACATTACCGAATACAGTGATAGACCATCTGATATGTTTTAAAGCAGTTCTTAGACCTCCTCCAACAGGATGGATCAGGGCTGTTGATGAACTGGGTGCCCTTGGCCAAAGTGTTTCCCAGTATTTATTTTGAAGCATTTATTTTCTGAAGCAGAACAATAGACAGATCAACAGGAGCATTAACTATTGAAAATAAACACATTCGATCGAGGAGAGATGATGCAAAAACAGATACACAAATAAACAACAAAGCATTACGTTCAAGACTCTATCCTATCCACATGATTAATTCATGACTTTTCCATTTGACTGTGCTTGTCAGTGCACAATCTATCTGCTTTAGTCTGTCTTGCTGTGTCTCCACATCCCTCCTCCTCTCTGTCTCCCTCCCTCTCTCTGCCCTTTCTGCCGATAGCTTAGGGAGCAATGCCCCAACTGGACAGCAGGTGTGCTCTTAAGCACTGCAGCATGCAACCCACTGCAGTGCTGCCATGTGTGTGTGTGTAAGAGACTGTGTGTGTGTGTGTGTGTGTGTATGCGTCAGCAGCTGGGACAGCCTGGCGTGCCTGCCAGCTTGGCCACTGCTGCTCCTGCCACTCCGCTGAAGGAGAGGGGGGAGAGAGAGAACGCTGGAGGAGTGGAGGGAGAAAGAGAGCAAAGGGGGACAGAGAGGCAGAGGGAGAACGAGGGAGAGAGAGAGAGAGAGGAGTCCAGGCCCAAATAAAGCCATGGGGGCTGGGGCTGGGCTGGGCCCCCCTTTGCTATAAATACGCTGGCCGCCTGGAGGTTCGGGTTTGGTTGCTGGGGCTTGGGACCAGCGACCACCACTGCTGCTGCTGCTGCTGCCTTCCTCAGGGGAGTCTCCTGCGCATACTCATCATCCTCATCCTGGTCATCAGTGTTTTGGGCATCCAAGATGCCTCGAGTGGACGCAGACCTCAAGCTGGACTTTAAGGATGTCCTCTTCAGACCCAAGAGGAGCAGCCTTAAGAGCCGCTCAGAGGTTGGTGCAGTTAATTACTTGTGCTCTGATAATGTAATCCAAGTATTACATCTAGAGTTAAATCAAATCACAGTACTTCTCTGGAGGAGTGTAATCTGTTTACTTTTGCATTCAGGAAGTACACTTGCTTACGCCTCTATGATGAGTGACGCAATAGAGACATGTTAACTATTTATACATGGGGGTGGAGGGGTGGAGGGGTGGGGGCAACATTCTGGGGCCTTCTAACCCTGTTTGCTGCTCTCATATCACCGTTACTGATGAAAAGATGTCTCAGTATAGCTGAAGTGTAATTTAGCTCAGTGTAATTCTATATTGTGTCTCCTTATTGTCTTGTCTTATATAAGCCAGCAGGTGTACGCTACCTTTGTATTGTGGTGAGAGAGGAAAAAAGCCATTCTGCATGAACATGTAACAGTGGAGTGACCTTCTTAAAGGACAGAAAACAAGGCCAGCCTGCACCAGACTACAGCTATAAACAATAACTGACTACGAACAAAGAAAACATCACAAGAAAATGTAGATAGTCAGAGATGAAAAAGAAGTTTTTAACCAGAAAAGACTTGATTTAGTGTATTATTGTCATTTAAAGCGGGTTAACGAGGCCACACTGTGTCCAGCAGCCACTGACTTGGCTCTCCGAGACAAAACAATCCTCTCCTTGTTTATCCTTATAGCTTCCTCGACTTAGCTCTGTGTCACTAGATCAGGGACTGGTACCGACCCAAGATCTCGACACTGGTGTGGTGGCACTAGATCCGGGGTGGAAGGTGGAAGTGTGTGGGGGTTGGCTTTTGAGTGGTGGCAGGCAACATGAGACACTGGAGACTTCTGAGAAAACGTATTTAAAAATAGTACTGTGTGTGGTACAGTCAACCGGAGCACATTCCATACAACACCACACAGATATCATGGATAACACCAGGTACTCCAGCATGCACTGAGCTTCTAATGAGTGTAAATACCAATTCTATATGTTATCTCATTTGTTGAATATCTCACCTCATTCTTTACATTATATCAAATCATCTTCTCCTACTGTGACTTATTTTATTCAAAAGATTTGAGCTACAATAATAAGGTACAGTGGACACCCTAATGAAAATACCTAAAAGAACTAAAATAATTTCAGATGTCTATAGTTTACACAAGATGATTCATTGCAGAGTGCCAGTACTGCAGCCAAATCTAACGGTCCATGCACTCAGAAATCATCCATCTGCTGACATTCTGCCTGCTCCTGTTTGAATTATTGCTGCCTTTAACACGAGCAGAAAGTTAACCTGCCAAAGCTAAGCTTAGCAGACATCCACAAAATTGTTTTCAGCAGAGGCGAGGGGTATATGAACACCATGGAGGATAAACTGCTTCAGTAACACAAGACTATGTACATGGTGGTCTGTTATCAGGCACAGATGCACCACTGAGCAGAAACATATCCCTTCCATCTTGACGAAAGATGGAAGGGATGGCACCACTGGAGTCAACAAAAACACCGGCTACATGTCAAACGATAGAAGATGTAAATATATTTAGACCCTTCATTTTGTATGGATAAACATCTGTATCAGCTAAGCCACATGTTTTGCGACTCTAACCCCAGAGTGAATCTGTAAAAGCAGTAAATATCCGCCACATCCAGAGGTAACACAAACTGACACCTGATGAATGCCTTCTGGCATATGTTACTTTAACTGGCTGAGTTCATGTGTCATACTTTGTCATAATTTACTGGTGACTAGACTGGAACATCCTGCTGAGTCAGTGTTGCTGTCTACTGAAAGAAAAGGCCTGTATCGATTCGCTGCAGCAAGAAAATGGATACGCATGACTGGATGCTCCTCCCTCCTCATCCATCCCATCTTTCACCGCTTTCCTCTTTCCCCCGCCCATTATGAGTTATAGTCTGATTAATATGCTGTGTGCTCTGAAGGTTATGGCACACTTTCTACTGTTAGCTGAATTACTTTTGCATACATGCCTTGGCTCTACTCAACAAAAGCATTCAGCACTATGAAGCTGTTGGATTTAACTCTATAGGGAGTCATTTTTTCAAGGCTTGAAATGAGTTTTAAACAAATTTTACTCTATTTTTATTTTCTATTTAATTTGTATGAGGAAAAACGTGTTATATACATTGTAACATCTGTAAACTCCACCCACACTTAGAAGCTAACAGTTATCAAATCATAGTAACTCATTGGAATAAGAATTATTTAGAGCTGAAGGAATCTTAGCTATGACTTGTATCATGACAACAGACAAATACTTTCCTGTAAAAGGAGCAGCCAGTGTGACACAATGAGCACCGCTTGTTTCATGTAGCTTATCGCATTACAGGCGGCAGCACTGACTAAGCTAACCATTGGGTCTAAATGATTCAGTGCATCCCCATTATGACCACACAGACTCAGAACATGAGCCCCATGAGCTGAAAATCTGCAGTGTCAGTTTGTGAAGAAACTTAATTCATCAGTCACATTAGAAAATCTATGGAAGCCCTGGAAGGCAAGGTCATTTTTTATTCTTTTTTGCAAGGATAATTTTTCCAAGTTTTTTTTTTCATCTGTACAAACACCTCCAAGAGGCAAGTTATTTTTTTCTGGGAAAAAAAAAAAAATCACTTCCCTTCCAGAGCTTCCATTCAAACCAGAGCATGTTCATAGAACAAGTTTCCAGACTAACTCGTCCCCTCGCCCACAGGTGGACCTTCAGAGGACCTTCACATTCCGCAACTCCAAACAGACCTACACTGGTATCCCCATCATCGCTGCCAACATGGACACCACAGGAACGTTTGAGATGGCACAGGTCCTCAGCAAAGTGAGTTAACACAACTGAATGACTGAAAAATAAATAACAGCGTCATTGTGTTTGTGCATTTGTCAGTGTGTCCTCGCCAAGATCTGTGTGTGTGTGTGTGTGTGTGTGTGTGTGTGTGTGTGTGTGTGTGTGTGTGTGTGTGTGTGTGTGTGTGTGTGCGTGTGTCCTACCACTGAGATTTCTGTGTTAAGTATTTGACATAGGATCACAAAACAAAAGCCAGATTGCAGTGGGGAGCCTTGGGAAAAACATGAATTATCAACCTTGTCCTAGAAGCAGTAAGACATCTGCTTGCTTTGTTTTCTTTTGTAACACTGCTGGATGACTTGGACATCAAAGTGTGTGTGTAATCTTTATTTCAAAAGTCTGAAATTAAGTGAATGATTTAGTGCTCCTCATGACAGCCATTTTTTTCTTTTGTTTGAATGTGGCGCCAGTTGAAACCATGATGACTTATATAGGAAGAAATATCACAAATAATGACATGATGAAATTTGCTTCAACTTGTGGCGCCGAGTCGCTAACAATATCTAAGGAGTTTCTGTATTTCCTCTCTGGGTGTCTGTCTCTCTCTGTAGCACACGCTCTTCACAGCCATTCATAAACACTACTCTGTAGAAGACTGGAAAAACTTTGCTGCTAATCATCCAGAATGCTTAGAGGTAAGATCGCCAATGTTTGCCCTTTTTTTTTTTTTTTTTTAAGTAGCTTGCTCCTCATTACCAACAGTTACATGATTACACATATTTTATTTATAAGGATCTCCTTGCCCAAAAGATAATTCTCACTCCTCCTCACAGCATTTAGCTGCTAGCTCAGGCAGTGGCAAAGCAGATCTGGAGAAGCTGTGTGCCATCCTGGAAGCCGTCCCTGCCCTCAAGTACATCTGTCTGGATGTGGCCAACGGCTACTCCGAGTACTTTGTGGAGTTTGTTAAGACGGTCAGAGGGAAGTTCCCCAAACACACCATCATGGTAAGAGAGACAGTGCACCGCCTTGTCTGGCAGTCCTGGCTAATGGGATGTTATGTATCCAAGACTGTTTGTCAATCTTAATGCGCTCTGCCTTGCAGGCTGGTAACGTGGTAACAGGGGAGATGGTGGAAGAGCTCATCCTCTCCGGAGCTGACATCATCAAAGTGGGCATCGGTCCAGGTGGGTGGCCGAGTCTGAAGAGTGCGTTGTCTCTTAAGTCAACGCACAACTACACTAAGTGGCTGGGACTGAGGCGAGAGATGATTCAGAAACACAGAGACATGCTGTTTAAGTAATCTCCTCCTACTTGAGCCTCCTACTATCTATACATTTCAGAATCACTGACTGCATTCTACCCTTGCAGGATTTCAGTTACAGCTCTCAGGTTGCTGTAGAGAGAGTAGAACAAAGTACTTAGCCTTTGTTAAAGCAGCAGAATAGATTTAATAAACCATTTTAAAATGACTCAGTGTCCCAGTGAGTACCAGCTAAATCTCCTCATGGACTGGCATTTACATACTTCTATTAAACGGCTTGTTCTACAGGAGGCAGACGGTGTTTCAGATCATCTGGTGCTGTGTTTTTGCCTCGTGTCTATATAATGGCTGCCTGACTTGAGAGCACCAGATTTGAAAGGTAGCAGGATCGTGTACAGACAGCAGCGTCGGTCACACGCAGATGGGGATAGTTACATGAAGATGGACTTTTCTAATGTGTGCGCTGTGAACTGTGTGTTGCAGGTTCTGTGTGCACGACAAGGATCAAGACAGGAGTGGGCTACCCACAACTCAGTGCTGTTATCGAATGCGCAGACTCAGCCCATGGACTCAAAGGACACATTATCTCTGTAAGTCCCATATGAAGGTACAGAAAATAACAAGAGGAAGCCAGACTTACTGTAGTACTGTAGTTGTGTAGAGTACGTAGTATATGTGTACTGTACTTGGTGAAATGATCTTATTCTGCTGGTGGACAGGAGTTTCTGCTTCTGTGGGCATCAGTCCAACAAAAATGTCATTAACTATGGTTAGGAAGGAAAAAAGGTAAGGAAAAAAGCAGAGGTTAGATCATGGATGTATTGGCAAAATATCTGTGCATCCTATCAATGTAGAAGATATAGGGTAGTAACAAACAAATGTTAACCAAGGACCCTGACATAGAGAAGTTTATCTGCTGAAGTTACACTACAGAAAGTCAGTGAACTGTAGCTAATTTTAAGGTCATTTTGCAGGAGTCTGGAAATGCAATAGTTTCCAATTTTGATAATAATAATAACACTGCGATGCCGCCAGTAGGGGGCATCCTCAGTCTTCCAAAGCTGGTTGACTAAACACTGAAGAAACTTTACTTTTGACCTCGTGTGAGAGCATATGACTCATGTGTATTTTTGGCCTGTTCAGGATGGTGGCTGCAGTTGCCCAGGAGATGTAGCTAAGGCCTTTGGTAAGACCAGTTTTTGTTGTTTCCACTTAATGTCTCAGATTCAATGTTAGAAATGTAACCACCTCGTCTTCTCTTTGCCTTTGCTCCTCAGGTGCCGGGGCTGACTTTGTGATGATGGGAGGAATGCTCGCAGGTCACGACCAGTGCACCGGAGAGGTCATCGAGAAGAACGGCAAGAAATACAAGCTCTTCTACGGCATGAGCTCCGACACAGCCATGAAGAAATATGTGGGTGGAGTTGCTGAGTACAGGTGAGAGACTCAGGTTTCATAAACAGAATTGTACTCACTGGCTGGAGTTCTGAGTTCTGTTTTAACTAAAAAAAAAAAAACTTCTTTCTTTATCTCCTTGGCTGTCAGGGCGTCTGAGGGGAGGACAGTGGAGGTTCCCTACAGGGGGGATGTGGAGAACACCATCCGTGACGTGCTGGGGGGACTACGCTCCACCTGCACCTATGTGGGCGCTGCCAAGCTCAAAGAGCTGGGCCGGCGAACCACCTTTATTCGCGTCACACAACAGTCAAGCCAAATGTTCGCTTAGTGGGGTGGACATGCTTGCGCACGCGCACAAGCACGCACACACACACACACACACACACACACACACACACACACACACACACACACACACACACGCACACACACACACACACACACACACACACAATCACCCAACCTGTTTCTCTCAGGATATCTGCTGTCAGAAAGCTGTTAGTTTCCTGCAGATTGTGATTGAAAACGACTCAGAAGTTTGACTTGAAACATTCTCGCCGAGGCATCACAGCGCTCCAGTCGACTTAATCCTACAGCGAGTGCGTTTACATGCTTCCAGACATGATAATAGGCTACTGATTTCATTTTTGAATGGGCAATGTGCAAATGCCATGCTCCAGTTATAAGCAGTCTGGATAAATCCTTCCCAGTTCTGGGAAATGGGAATAAGAGAGCCGGAATACTGAAGCATGTGTACTTCAGATCTAATCTTTCTAAACACTCTTTTAACTTGTGTATTTCTACATAAACAGTACATCAAAATTGTGAGCTACGTGAAACACATTGCATGTAAACACACTCAGCAGGGGGAGTCTGATACTCCTGCTCAGAACATTTGGTTGGACTGAAGGCGAAAAAAATCAATATGCAAAATCCAGAGACGTCGCCCTTTAACTGTCACTGGACAAATCATGTCGCAATAAACTGCATGCAGAACCGTCTGCTAATCTCCTCACTGGTGTTGATCATTCTGTGAAGCTTCTCCATAGTGTGCAAATCATATATCATAACGACATACAGCTTAATGGCGTATCTTACTTTTCACGATGTGTGTTTTTGTGTCTGTGTGCGTGTGTTTTAGGTTTGTTTGGACAGTTCCACTGAGCCAGGTGAACATGAAGAAGACAAGATCTATGTATTCCAAATGGCTTACTCTGCTGTGTGTGTGTGTGTGTGTGTGTGTGTGTGTGTGTGTGTGTAAAACAGCCACATCTGAGTCTCCTTCATTGATTCCACTGCACCTGACATTTAAAATCAAGGACGACTCAAGATGTGTGCCCTCAACCTCAGAGGGGTTCTCTCTACTTACCCTCTACTCTAAGTAAGCAACTTCAGGGAAAGGTCATGTAAAGCAACGACACAACTGAACACCATAAAACGAAAACTCCAACCACGAAATACAAACCGGACTTTATACAACACGCTTTCATTGTTATTGCAACAAAGACAGAAGATGGAGGTAATAAAACCAAAAAAAATCAGCAGATGATCAGTGTGTCTCCTCTCTCTGGACTATAAACTCCACATCTCTCTGCAGGGCAAACAATTAGAAATGCTCCAAACACAAACCAATCTGAATTATTCCTGCTGGTATATACAGCCTGGTGTTTACATATCCGCTGGGATCATTTTCAAATTACATTCTGCCTATGGCTACAACATCAGCCTTAAAAATCTGATTTCAAATCCATATCTCTATGATTTCATTACTGGAGTGGAAAATGACTGGTTTTCTTGGAGCTTTTCAGAAGTATAAAACACAGATGTGCCGTTTTCTTGCACTCAAGTGACCAATATATCCTCAACCAGGCCAGGAGTTTTATTTTGTCACCACGAAATTGTGAATACGTAATTGCATATGTGAGAGCAACACAGAATTTCCATGAAATTTGAGCTTTTTCAGCCATTGTTGCCCTCAAAGTCGAGAGTAGAGTGGCAGTGTGTCATGCAGCCTGTGATACACTAGAGGGGGCTATTGCGCTCAGCTAAGAGAAATGGAGGATATCGTTAATGAGAGGTGAGACAGGGTTGTATCCATATCGAAATGTGGTGCTGTGAAAGGGCATGTCGGGTGCGTTTGCCTGTGTTGGTATTCAAAGAAAGACACAGTTGCCCATTTATTCCAGATATGTCAAGGTTTCATTTTCTTTTTCAAAGAGGTGCATTTGTACAGTTGTCAAATACATACACCAACAGGGTTTCTCCATTGCTATAGAGGAAAGGGGTGGTGAGACACAGGGACTTGGTGAGTACAATATAGTACAAACAAGTTGGCTGGGAACTGCTGCAGCTCACCGCAGGCCAGACTGTCCATGCAGGTCTGTGCTGATGTCCAGTTCTCTGCCACCATCCCATCGGCCAGTAAGTTTCAGTTCGGTACTTGGTGTTAAGGGTTAGCAGAGAAACATCGAGACAGCCTGGTTGCTAGCCTCAGGGCTGAATGTTCAAAACAGGGGGAGGAATCAACTGAGCCACAGCTGACAGATAAGCTCCACCCCCTCCTTGGCAGTGGGCAGGGTCAGAGGTCACGAAGCGTACAGCCTGTTCCCTGCTGAAGTGTTTGTTGCCTTGCACAGAGAGGCAGACTAAAGACGTTCAGTACACTGAAGAGAAATCCAAGCCATCTCCAGCATAATACACATAATATCATAATAATAATAATTCATAGTTAATTGTCAATAATGACATTAGTTAATCATATCAAATTATATGTAATAAATTTACATATCTTATAACCCATATCAAACAGCCCACTATGTAAATTGATTGGGGTGAAACTAAACTGTTAAGTGGGCCTCTACAAGTTTTTTTTTTTTTTTTCTTTCTGCCTGAGTTGGTTATCCAGCGCTATGGACATTGACGAGACATCATACAAAAAAGAAAAAAAAAAAAAGAATGAAAAAAAAAAGGAATCCTGATCGAATTCTGTTCACTTTTAAAACACAACAAAGTGCCAAAAACACATCCTTTTTGCAAAATGAAAGTACAAACATCAAGAAACAAAGAGCACACATGCCTTTTTTTCTGATCGAAAAGTCAAAGCTCACACACCAACATTCATTTTATTTGTCAAGTTGTGCAAGAAGCCAATTAAAAAAAAAAAAAAAGAAAAAGACATTAGCAGTGTTCCTCCAGTGAGGAAACTTGTCATAAAAACTCAACAATGACACATTCTCTACATAGTTTTAAGTCCCCTGACATTATATTGAGTGCTACAAGGAGACCAAAAACAGAAAAAGCTCCTGCACCAAGGAAAATGCAAAAAAAAAAAAAAAAAAAAAAAAAAAAAAAAAAAAAGCAAAGGTTTGTACGCACCGTTTTCACACCGCAACCAAACCAAGCTGTGCCAAGTTCCTGACAAACATATCTGCCAAATTAGAACTGAAAAATGTGAACAAAACAAAACCTAATTAACAGCACAGCCTGGTCGGTGTAAGTGTGGAAAAGACTCCAAACAAACCCGACACAACAAAAGAAGGGATGCATTCCATGAGAAAAGGTTTTCCTAGTAGAAAAGAACCAAGGAATCACCTAACACCTCGGCCCGTTGGACCCAAGAACGCGCCGGGCGCCAAGCGAGATGGAGCACAGACAGATAAACACAAGGTTACGGCAAGGTGATGTGCAAAAACTTAAACTGAGCCATCTCTCTGTTTTCATCCTTATTCACCCACTTTTTTTTTTTCACTCTCATTCTCTCTGTCTGTTTTGAATGAATGTTACCCCTAGGGAAGGTATCGGTCTGAGACAGAGGGGTTAGACCAAGCCCATCCTAGGATTAGAAAGTGCTGAAACATTATCAAGTCTTTTACATCTACTTACATGTGCATCTCTGTTGGTTGGTAGTTTTTTTTTTTTTCTTTTTTGGTTTTTCTTTTTTTTACAAAAAGTGGTCCCCACTAGCAATGAGGTTTCTTTTTTTCTGTGGGTCTCACCGTGAACCGTCGAGGGTCAGGGTTTATGATCTCACAGACAATTAGAGGAGAAAACACTCCGTTACACACATACACACACACACACACACACACACACGTACACTCAAACCCTAACACACTCATACACACTTGAACACCTGGTGTACATAAGCACAGATACTACACACATGACACATGGTGCAGACACACACACACACACACACACACACACACATACACACACACAAAAGAGACATGTCACAGTCTCACACACACTCAAATTTAGGAAGGCCGCAACGACAGAAGGGAAAGAGAGGTACAGACAAACTCTCCATTGGTTTTGTTTCTGTTCACAAACATCCTGACTTGTTTTAACAGATGTGACACACACATCAGCAGACAGTAAAATACACAAGCCTTTAACAAGGATGAGACACTGGAGACTATGCTACATACACTTGGCACAGCAAAGGGGGGGTAGGGACAAAATCTAAGTATTGCACATTGTGGTACATTTCGGGGGGGGGGGGGCAAAAAGTTCAACTTGGGGTCATCTTAACAAAATTAAAACTACACCAAACCCTCAAAGGTTGTTGCTGTGAGGTGCCGTTCCCTCTCCTGCATTCAGAACGTGTTTACATGTCAGATTGCTTTGTTTCAACGTCTATTATTAAGCATGCATTTCCACTTAACTTCTATAAACACGACGACCTGTATAAGCTAGTAGCGAAAAGGAGACCGAATATCAAAAGATGATGTTATGAGGGGAATAGACAGTCCAGGCCAGCCCTGCTGTATCCAGGCCAGGCCACACTGAAAGGTAGCTAACGGTTGTTGAGGGTTAATCGATTGCTTCGCCTCAGGAGGAGGTGCTTGTGAGGCTGGCTGGCTATGACTGGGTACCTGAAACAAAGTTAGCGAGGTCACTACGGGAGTCATGGCAACAAGGCAGGCCTGGGCCGAGTCAAGATGTCTGCTGGTTACTTCAGGTGCATGTGACACGTGACATTAGCTCACCTCCAGCGTAACAACAGAGTTTCTGACTCCGACCGGTTGGGACAGAGGAGGTTCTGGGGGTTGTGATCAGTTACTGCATATATGAGACGCTTCCCTGAAAACTAGCAACTGCTGTTGCAAACTGCAATTTCTAAAGAACTTAACTTTATGATTAAGGGAAATAGAGTTAGCTGAAACTAACAGGTTTATTTGCTTCTAAAAAAAATTTCCTTTATATGACAAAATTGTGTTTTCACTTGGGGCAGAAAGGAGGAGTTTTTGGTTGTAATGCTAGAGGATTATTATTGTTTATTGCAGAGAATTTGAGTGGAATTACGTGTGTGTGTGTGTGTGTGTGTATGTGTGTTTGTGTGTGTGTGAGGAGAGTGCCTGAATATTGTCATACTATTGCTTTCTTAAGTAACCAAAGCAACGATAGCATCACTTGGCTTTGGCTCAATGTCTTTTTTTTTCTTAATATTTTTTTTTGTTTGTTTTACCTGACTGACAGTAAAAGTTTTGATGGTTTGAGTGGCTGACAGATTTGTTTAGATGTTGTTGTGACTTTGCTTTTTTCATTTGTTGGGACGGGGGCTGGACAAGAAAAAAAAAAGAAAAAAAAAAGGACAAGTACTTACATTTACAAAACACACACACACATACAGAATGCAAAACACACACACACACACACACACACATACTTCTATTTTTTACTAATAATAATCATGATGTTTCAATAGGAAAAGGAAGAAATGAAAATGCACTACTGTGGTGATGTTGATCTGAGAAACCCTGTTTTATTATAAAAAAATAAAGCATTTTCAAATCTCACATGGGGTCTACTCATTCACTCACCATCACCATCCATCTGCCCATTTATTCAGCCACCTACCGATCCACTTCTCATCCATCTGAGCACACATCCATCCTGCCATCACCCTGGTAAACTCCCACCACCTGAAACAGTGCTGCCCCACACAGTTAGAACTTACTGCTCTATATTTTCAATGGGATGAAAATACGACTGATCCACTTTGCTGCCATGTGACAACACCCAAATACAGAGGCTGAGTAGAAAACTCAACAGATATGCCTGCAGGAAGTCACCGCTTCTCCACACCCTTCACAACACTGTAGTGATAGCAACCCGTACATGCTGATCTAACTGCAGTGTGTGATCATAGTGTACTGTTACATGCAGCATGAGAGAAACATTTACATGTTACATGGCACCCTACCGTCACCAATACATTTAAAAACTGCCAATCTCATTTTGTTTCGTTTGAATTCAAATATAAAACAATTCACATTACACTTCACAAATCAAACTCAGACAAAGAGCAGGACTTGGGTTTTAATAAGTAAGACAGAGCCTACAATATTGTTCAGTTGGACAAGAGAGAGCTCCGGATGTTGGGTCAACCCAGCAAGCACATCTGTTGAGGTAACTGCTACATCTTAGCAAAATAGGGTTTCAGCTGGCTGAAAGCACAGGCCGAGTTCAAAACTGAACCCTAGTCCCTACACCCTGGACACCTCGGTTTCAACAGCAGGGAGAGAGTCTCCTTGAGACACACTACAAATGGTTCATCTTTAAACAAATTCAGTAGGCAGGCACATGTTACAATTCTGCTTTACAGCTATGCTCGCGTTTGTAGAAACTCAAATGTAATTTGACCTTGACTGCATTGATGCAGAAACTTTTTTCCTCTAATATGTGATAAGTGCCTTTTGAGGAACAAAAAAAACCCTGGTCTCCTCCAGTGTGTTACATGGTCTAGGGCTCCTTTCAGGACAGGGCCGTCAAAAAATCATGTCTCCACCAAACTCCCTCCTCCTGATGTGCAAATTGCAAGATTCTCTTAAGTAAAAGACTCCAAGTAGAAACACTGGACATTTAGCATTGTCTATATATCAAATGACTATATCCTTTTCCTATACACAGTATACATATACTCATACACAAACTCACACACATACACAAACACACCACAGAGCACTTTTCTGTACATATGCACTGTTAGCAGTGTGCATTAATCCAATGTCAGTCCACTAGTGTCTTTGCAGTAGGGACAATATGCACCAAAAAGCATCTGCATTCATCTAAACGCTTACCAGCAAATACAGTACATATTATAGGTCATTGAGTCATTTTAGGGATGGTCTGTACTGTTTTGTGTTTGTGTAAGCATGCGTGTGTGTATGGACAGACACAGACCAGCATCATGCACACTCTAGCATACACACATACATTACAAATATATGACACCCTTCAAAAATTCTGGCGCGAGCTTCTAATTGTTGCTCTCAGTCTAGTACAGAACATCAGTGGGATATTTCCTTGTTACTTCTTATGCCAGATCCTAAACTTTCAAAACACATTCAAATACTTTTCCCTAACTTCTGTGTGGCTAGCTGGCTGTAGAAGCGCACATGCTGAAAACCATCATATTTCCAATTCCTTTTGTTACCATTAAAAAAAATTTTTTTTTCTCTAACCATCTACTAACTGGAATTTCCTCCAATACCTGTCACATTCATCCCTTTCTTTGTGATCCCATGGCACTTCCGCTCCCACGTTACCAAACGACCCCGTCACTCTTCCAAAAGTTTCACCTTTCCAAAGTGCTGTTGCTACTTTCTACCCTTGTCTTAATAAAAAAAAAAAAAAAAAAAAAAATCTAAAAACATACAGTACTGCGTAAATAAAGAGACAACAAAAAAAAATTTGTCGGCTGTATGGTGAGTGTGACAGGTGTGTTAAGTGCTTTGAAACATCCTGACCCTCTCAGAACTGACATGCAGATTCTTTCGGTTCCTCTCACACAGCCTTTCTGGATAAAAAAATATAAAGTAATTCATCAAAAAAACAACGAGGACTGTATGCAGTCATCCTCTTAACATTTTCTCAAAAGTGAAGTTTGCCAACCCAGTGTGTTTGCACTTGTATTTATGTATTAGGTTAGGGTATCTCACATTTATACATTAACATTGACCCACCTAGGTTCAGTCTAGGACTAAATGACCCCTGATTAAGGTTTTTGACAATCATTGAAAACAAATAACTGCAGATAGAAGACGAGGGGTTTAAGAAAAAAAAAAGTTAAAAGAATAATGCTAAAGATGAAAGTAAAGACTCCACTGTCATCAAACTGAACAGAGTAAGTGTTGTTCCCTCTCTGTTGTGTGGCACACTGGCACTACTTGATGACATCACAGATCAGGTCTGACGCACCCTGATGACACTGTGAGTAAACACATGACACATTTAACGCTAAAGACACGGAGAATGGCATTTTCCCAGCTCCCAGTCTGATTTAGCATATGAAAAAGTGAATGATTTATCCACAAATCCTTCATGCTCAGGATCAGCTGACATTTTATTACTCCTGTGGCTCAGTGTAAAACCACTGGTGTGGCAAGGGGTGGTGGGAAAGAGTTTCCATCCAGGCAGCCTCACTAGCAGTGCACAGAGAGTGAAATCACCGTCAAGAAGTTAACCGTGCACTAATTCAATTTGAAATTTACATAATGTGTAAAGTGCAGCCAGCCAAGCAGAGTCATCAGGCGTTGCTCCGGTGTGCCACACAGCCACCGATAAACATTTAGCACACTTCACAAATCCCTCACCATAACTCATCTCATGAAAACCACCAAAACGGCACCGATTGCTTGTGTGATATCAAATATCCACCTATAAAAATGTGTTATAAACTACATGGACTTAATGTAAGGTGATACCATGTAGGGTAAATTTACCTCTACAGTACAGTATTCAAGATAGAAAAATAAAAACAGAAAACAAAACTTTAAAACCAAGACAAATGAAACATTAATGTGGGCATTCATGTTTTTTTTTCTTTGTAGAATCCTTTTTATGTTTTTTTTTTTTCCAAATCCCAAGGGTTACTAACAGTCCTGCCTTCACTTGCCAATATTCGACCTTCCCTCGATGCTGACTTTCACCTCGTGAGGGATGAAGGAAGGTTTGGGCAGGGTCAAAGGTGGCTCCTCTTCTGATTTTTCTACTTTGCGACCTTCAGGGGCAGACCACCTGCGCTTCCTACCGCCTGATGGCTTACTGGAGCCAGCTTCTGCGCCGCTGGCAACCTGACCTTTAGAAAGTGACCCTCTGTCCCCAAACATAAGATCCCCATTTTCCACATTGTTTCCCCCTCCACTCCCATTCCCGCTTCCACCGCTGCCCCGCTGGCTGATGCCATTTTCCCGCTCGCTGTGCCTGGAGCCCCCTCCACTGCAGCCTTGGGGAGCGTCTGAGACAGGTCTTGGGGGTTTGAGGTGCCCGTGGCTGGAGGCTGGGACAGAGGCAGGGGTGGCCAGCTCCAGAGGCTGAGTCTTCTTCAGAGATCCATTCCTCAGGTTCTTGAGGGTGAGTGAAATACATACATCGCCCACAGAAAGCTTGGTGCAAGGCAGCTCCAGAAGCTGGGTGGTCCGGTCCGGGCAGCATGAAGACCAGCCTTGGCCAAAGACGAAGAAGGGATACTCCACCAAGACCTCCACACTCACCTGAGGGCGAGGGGAAGAGGGAAGGGAAGGGAGGAAGGACGTCAATACAATGACTCTGGAATACAAAATCTTGTATGTAAGCTTATGATGTCAGTCTGTGGTTTACATTAAAGGGGCACTCCACCAATTTTACACATTAAGACCAGTTAACCTTTCCTAGTACTCGTCATCAGTACTACTTGTATAATTTCATCTGAAAAAATAACCTTGATGTTATCGTGAGTTTGAAAGATGGGCATGTTTACAAGGCAGGGAAGGTCTAATGAAAGAAGTTGCAGTATGGGTAATGTAGGATTCACTGTTTTTGGAGCTTGACCTATAGTAGAGACTAATAGTATGGATAAGTCATCCTCTGCTGCTTGATTTCAACATTTGTGTTTTTTTGGTGTTTTTTTTTTTAAACTGTATTTTATGAAAGTGCAGTACTAAACTGCCAGAGTACATTTGAAGATTTTCAATTTGTTTTCAGGACATTTATGCCTTTATAACACAGCAGACAGTACAGAGCTGACAGGAAACAAAGAGAGAAAGATAGGGAATGGAATGCAACAAAGGTCCCTGACCAGACTGGAGCTGGAGACATCACGATCACATGGCCAGCATCCTAAAATCCCTGGGACATGAGGACGCCCCTTAACAAAAGTTTTAAAGGATTTAAAACCCTAGTAAGCACTAGTCTTTAGAAAGGAAACGGTGACTAAGGCCCTGACAAAGATTTTAAATGCTCTGGAATATTAAAGGTCCAAAAAAAATACAGTAGCTGAGGAGTACAAAAAAAAAAATAAAAAAAAATCTTTAAAGCGATTGTGGGGCGTCATGTTGACCCTGACCATTTTAACTACCATTAAAGTCCAATCAGGGACCTTTTGGGGATGTCACTCCCTCTCTCTTTCTCTTCATTTGCTGTCATCTCTCTCTCATTTCTTCTGTGCCACTGTGCTGTCTAATAAAGGCTAAAACACCCCCAAAATACATGAAAAACCCTGGTTTCATAATCCTAATCAACCCTGTATGAGAAGAAGCATTCATGAAAGAAAGGTTAAAAACATCACAGGATCATTCATTTCTTTTTTAACAGTCAGTGCTTTGGAGCGGTGCCCACCTTGAGACCTGAAACCCACAAGTCCTGCAAGGTTATTTGGAAGCATTTATCATTCCCTCAGTATTATTGAAAGGTTCAATCTCTTTAATTCAAAATGTTTTCTCAAGTGAAAGTCTAGACTAGTATTTCAATATAACATAATACAATATACAATAATATAATGTCCAAGAAAAAATGGCACAGACACAGGTCATTGTACAAACAAGGACAGAGAGTTGGCTGCTTGTTGAAAACTACAAGGATTTCAGTTTAGCTGAAAGAAAGAAGTTTTGGGACACGCAGTTCTTCAAATCAGCAAGACAATTATGTAATATCTCAAACTCTGATTGTTTTACTCAACAGAAAGTCACAGCTGGACTTTGTTGGCAAAGCAGCCAGTGTTTTTTTGGTAACTGGTTGTCTTAGTAACCATACGGACAACATATTCAAAGAGAACAATATCAACACAAAAATGAATCCCGTGTAACATTTTCAACATATTTAGTGTCAGAGGCGTTGAATGTCGCTGCTTTTAGCAATGACTGAGGTCTGCACTGTCATTTATATGTATGACAGAACGAGGAGATGACAGATAGAAGCAGAGGAGGCTTTGAGAAATGATGGGCAGAGTGAGAGAGAAAATAAACCTGAGGAGAAAGAAGATGAAGTGAGGGAAGCTCTGAAATACTGTAGAGAGAATGAGAAGGTGGGAGTGGAGGAAGTTACTGAGATGGAGATGAAAAGGCGAGTTTACAAAGGGAGGGTGGGTTGAACAAGAAGAGGAGAGAGGAAGTGAGTGTGAAAGAGAACAATGTCAAGAACAATATAAGTGCGAGAAGCATCAAACACTCTCTCAAAGCAAACGTCAGGTAATATTTTCCCTCCCGTATTATATAATTTTTGACTTCTCAGAGTAAGTCTTCTGAGTGTGGACTCAAAGCTGCTACCAGCTTTCAGAAAAAAACAAAACAAAACAAAACAAAACAAAAAAACAGTAAGAAGAGCCACTGAGGGAGTACAAGAGAGGAGGATAAGTCTTTGAATGATGGTCAGCTTTTATGGGGTACAGTATCAAAGAGCAGCCGGGGGGCGGGAGAGATGGTTAGAGATGTGCAGTGTGGGCGGACGAGTCACAGCATGGACAGATGAAATAGATTAACTGGCTTTAACGTACACCCTCAAAGACAGCGAGAAGGGTGCATGCGTGTGTGTGTGTGTGTGTGTGTGTGTGTGTGTGTGTGAGTGTGAGTGTGAGGGTGTGTTTGAAGGAGCTGGAGAAAACCAGAGACAGAAAACAGAGAGGTAAATTGTATTGTATTAGATGTTAGGAGATTGCTGAGAGATCATAGTTATTACAGAGCGAGAGGTCTATGTGACCTTTCAAACTTCTCAGAGTGCAAAACTTTATCTGGAAATAAATAAATAACAAGCTGGGGCTAATTTTAAATAAGTGTGCCTGTTCTTAGACGGTTAGGGTTAAAACTCAACCTGGGTATTTTACAGGGAGAAACTCGAGCGACACTATAATTGCATAAAGAAATGTAATTACTGGGCATGTGTCAAACATGGAAATGATTCTATGTAGGAGTGAAATGTCACGTACACATTTCCACTGAATGAATTCTTGATAGAGAATCGGATGTGTAGGTTCTGACACACAACTCTTTGAACACGAGTCTTTGAACTTCTGTAAAGCTTGTAATCAGAACATGTTTGTTACATGACTGTCATACTATTACATTGAACTTAATAACATGGGAAAAGCAGAGTCCTGTGAGATTCAAGATAACAGTCATTAATATGGGAGCAGCTCAACTCTTGTCATTCCACATTAATAAATCTATAAAATCCTTCTCAGAGATCTCCTTAAAAGTCATCCGTAACACTCGCAGAGGAGAACTACAGCTGGGCTTTAGTCTGCCATTGGATTCAACTGTAGTTTTTAAAACTGATTGTAAACATAAAACATCACTACATGCCTTAACAGATGAGTTAGGAGGAGGTAGAATTAGCTTAGCTAAGCATAAAGACAAGAGGCAGCTATTCATACTACCTAATTAACACCAATTAGCACAGTTTGTTTAATCTGTATAAAAGCCATAGTGTAAAAACAACACGTCGTGTTTTCACGGGGGAGGCCGATGTGTGGGGCTACTTGTTGGTCAGAAACAGTGAATTCCTGGAGTTTTTATCATTGCCATGAGGTTGCCAGGCAACCACAGGAGACTCCAGAAAGTCTTTATGCTAAGCTAAGCTAATTGGCTGCTAACTGCAACTTCCTATGTAACAGATACAAGAGTGGTAACAGTCTTCTCATGTAACACCTGGTATAAAAGTGAATAAACGCATGTCTGAAAATGTTGAACTGTACCTTTAAATGATAAATTGATTATTGATATTGTTGTCGATTAAGATTTTCTCAATTGCCTAATCTATTAATCAACTAAATGTTCCAGCACTAGTCAGCACATAGTCAAGAACAGGTTTTGAGATAGGTTTCTCCTTTTTCTCACCTGTGCACGGTGCTCACCAACAGAGAACTGAACCACGGCAAAGTTGGGTGAGGTGTGGCTCCCTTCGATGCGCTCCACCGTGGACGAGTCGATCTTCAGCTCACTGCTGATCTCAGCACTCTGGATGAAGTCCTCCGTCTTCAGGTCCTCCACACGTTTCAGCTCCCCGTCGGCCAGCTGGATGATGGAGCCCTTGATGAAGTACGGGGGGAGTGAGGGAGGCATGGCCGTATTGGATGGGGGAGGAGGAGCGGAAGGAGCAACCAGGCCCGACGGTGCAGGAACAATGGGGAGATGAAGCTGGGCTTGGACCACTGCACCTGAAGCGGCCTGGTGGTACGAGCCGCTGTGGGGTTCCAGCGTTTCTCCTTTGGGAGCAGTGGCAGCAATGTACGTGTGTGGGAGTGTGGTAGGAAAAGGTGCGGCTTGGGTAGATGATGTCACGTGGGAGGTCACAGGTTCCAATGCGGTGACTCCACCTCCACTGACAGGGATAATGACAGGTTGGGCGCCTGGAATGAGTAAGTGTTGTTGTAGGCTGGTGTGGTAGCTGATTGGCGTATGCTGGCTTCCACTGCCCCCTGCGATGTAACCAATGATAGGAGGCTGGGGGTAGATACTTGTAGAGGGGAGTCCCATTGACAGTGACTCTGTAGCACTGTGGGTGGTCTGGATAACTGTCTGGGGCGGCAGTGTGCTGACAGCAGCTTTCAGACTGTCTACACTTAATGGGGGTGGAAATGTGAACGAGGAGGTGTTGTTGGAGGAAGAGGGTGTGCGATTGACAGGCTTGCCCAGGATGATGCCACCCTTTTCCAGGTGTGAGGGGGCAGAGGTTGTCAGCTTCTCAGGGCTGGCTCTGGGTGGTGCCAGCTGGTGGTCCCCGTGGCTGTTGGGCATTAGCATGACAGAGGTTCTCAGCCCTGAGGGATCATGAGTAGAGTAGTCTGATGGCAGAACCAGCTGGCGGGCCTCATAGGCGGATAAAGAAGAAGTGGCATCCCGTGATTTGCTCCCTGACTTGGAGAGGCTGGATTCAGGGGATGCTCCAAACCGCCGGCCCCTTTCCAGCTCTCCATTGTGGAGCTCTCTGGGTCTGGAGCCACCGTCCTCTTTCCTGGTGTGTCCGTCAGTATACTGCACCACGACCTGGGACATCCCATGCCCCAAAGTATGGTGGGGGTGCAGTGACTGGGGAGGAAGGTGAATGCCTCCTTGGTGATGAGGCGACTGAACAGTCCGCGGGGAAGTTGACATCTGAACATGGTGAGGGGCGAGGTCTGTAGGGGGCGGAGGCATGGAGGTCCGCCCGCTGGATACTCGCTGCTGGTCATGTTTGGAGGTCTGCGAAGGAGCAGAGGCTGTCTCTGTGTGTGAGGGTCTCTGTGCAGCAAAAGAGGAGGAGGAGGAGAGGGGGGGAGGTGGAGGAGGAGGTGGGAGCAGTTGAGGGGAGATGTAGCCTGTGTATGGGGCAGTGTAGGGAGAGGCTATAAACTGCAGATTGGGAGGCAGTTGGGTGTAATGGACAGTTCCTCCAACTGTGGATTGTGACAAGGGGGATGTATAAACTGTAGGAAGAGGTGAGACTAGCCTCAGTGAGGAAGAGGAGGATGAAGAGTCTGATGTGGAGGAGAGGGATTTATACTGGGGCCCATCAGACTGACTGGAGCTACGGTGCCCACGCACACTGCTCTCATTCCCACCAGCCACACTGGCAAGCCAGGCCATGTTCTCCGTGCGCTGGCTGTCGCTGGCAGGTGGCATGGTATGCGGACGATTTTCAGATGGTAATGTGCTTGAGGGGATCTCCCTCTTCTTTGGGGGCAGACATTCATTACTGCGTTCCTGGTTGGACTTCATGATTTCGCCTCACGTCCCTCAACCGTACTTGCGTTTTCTTTCCTCAACTTTTGGACTTCTCTAGCTTTTTCCTTTCTTTTTTGTTCCCCCTCTCTCTCTGCCTTTCCACTTCACTTCCCTTGCTCTTTCCCTCACGTTTGATGTTCTGTCCTTTGTCTCACTTTAATTAGCTATAAATTAACCTTCCTAATCTTGTCTCGCTTTCTCTCTAGCCAGTTCACCCAAAGCTGTTGATTATCAGGTCTTTTCTTGATAACAAAGAAAATCCAGGCCCTAAGGAACAGGTGAGGAAGGATTAAAGATGGAGATGAAGATATGGAGGGGTGGTTAGAGGGGAGGGGTAGGGCGGTCTCTTCGGTCCAGGGGTCTTTAGCGTCTGAAAGGTGAGCTCAGTGTGGTAGGGGAGAGTGTCACGACATCACACCTGCTGCTGCCGCCGGCGACGACGGGGGGCCGAGTGTGCCGTACTTCATGTGGAATCATTTCCCTGCAAAAGCAAGCCCGTCCACGCACAGCACAAACCTGCGGGAGAGAAAGAGAAGCAGAATGAAAAAGTGCAGGACTCAAAACAGATGAATAGGTACATACAAATTTAAGGTCATTTATACTTTTGTTTTGCGTGCAGTGTTTTCACCCAGACAGCAAGGATGATGACAGGCCAGTCTTCAAAGTTTCTACCTTCTAACATGCAAGTACATCAGCTGATTGTTTTTCAATGAAAAAGAAAGAAGCTGAGTGCACTGACACAGTGCACTGCATCAAACAGAAAGTTTGCTCTCCTTGGTCTGCTGTTATTTACAATACTGTGTTTACACTGTCCCTGAAGCAAAACAAAAAGTGAAAAAAAGATTAGTTACTGATTGTTGGTAAACTGTTGTAAAGGGGTTTTATTTTCAGTGTAAATGTAAATCTAAAGTTTTTACTATAATAATCATTTATTGATCACAATACAGCAACTTAAACTACTTTAGATCATGTTTTGCAACTAGGTGCCATTTCAACGGGACATGGTGAGCAAAACATGGTTCTAGCAAACAAGGCATAAAGGACAACTATGTGCTAGCTTCAGGAGCACAATGATAACGCTCTAAGAAGAGAAACTGTTGAGCAATACATTTACTGTCATGAAGGTCAACAAACAGGCCATGAGCCAACAAAACGATGCCCCGCATCAACAACCTCAGGAGCTCAACAAGCCAAAACAACCAAAACAAGGCTATGGAATAATACAAGCACGCTCTGCAACAAGAAATTCAGGAAGGGAAAAACACTCTTTAGGAACTGACAGTGTTTGAAAGGAACTAGAATGTTCTGAAGGATGAAAAAGAGGCCATGAGTCTACATAATGATGCCTGCAACAAGAAAGGAGGTCCACTGGTAGCTCAACACAGCACAAGTTAATCATAGGTAATCAAATCAAATGATAATAAAACTCCATTTAATACTTTTCTTCTTTTACTACCTTTATTCATACTTATATTTCCAGATCGTTTTAGATCAGAAGAAGAATTGAAGCAGAATAAAACACCTCTAATCACAGCAACCTGAGCAGAAGAAGAAGTTTCCAACACCTGCGGTACTCGGGCCTCCAATCACAGACCTGTGCTGTACTCAACAAAGTATGTGTTCACCGCGTGTGTGTGCATGTATGTGTGTGTGCCATCTGTTAGTGAGGACCCCCTGCTGCAAAAGATGGAAAGCTTGGTGTGAATCTCATAAATAATGTAAAGGCATTTAAAGCACATGTACCGACCCATCCAACCAACCCCCACACACACAGACACACACACAGACACACACACAGACACACACACACACACACACACACACACACACACACACACACACACACACACACACACACACACACACACACACACACACACACACACACACCCTATCTTGCTTACTCAAATACTGACACCTGGGCATATTCAATTATGCTGACACATGTTCTTTTCCTGACGCACAGCACAAGTTCACTCACATACACACAGACACACACGCTCCAACTATGCACAACACTACACAAAAAGCACATACAGAGACACATGTATTTGTCCAACTTAAATACTCCTGAAAGTGGGCTAAGTAGCAGTTGACTAAGTTACTGCAAACTTGCACTAGACACACACAGACAGAAACACAATAACAAGTTTTGTTAATTTATTTACTCATGTAAAAGTTTGCAAAGGTAAGAGTTTACACTCACAAAAACATTACTGTAAAGTAATAAAATGATAACCCAAGTAACTGCCCAAACCACAGGCAAAGTATTGACGAATGAACAAATAATTGATTTTCCCTCACAAAAACATAACCATATAATGAACTAACACATGAGGCGTGTCTCTAAAAATGTCTTCAGCCCCCTACAATACAGCCTATTGTGTACATTGCGAATCACGTACCAGACATTATGCCATTTTTAACATCCAAATACCATGAGGAACACAGACTGAAATATTTGGAAAATCTACTACTGCTGATGTCAAGACACTCCTTTGAGAAAAGAGGCAGTAACAATGTCAGTCTTCTGATAAAATATAATCTTGGTTGGTTAGCCCATTGTTGCTGTAAAAAGCCGACGTCAAAGTTTAGTCAGAGTCAGAGTATCTTGACATAACAATGGAAGCCTTTAGCTTGATACCATGACTCAAGATTAGGCATTTATTATTGTGCATTTTGGAAACACTGAGAATCTGAAGACACGGAGCAGAATGATATAAAAGCGAGTGCGGTTATGCGGCTGCTCTGGTGATGTCTCTGAATGTAAGACTGCAACAGTTGCTAGCTCTACTCACATTAGACCCAATAACAGCCTCTTGTATTGATGATGAGTCTGACTATCTGACCTCTGGAGCTGCCAAGTCACATGAGACTGAATCTTTCAACCAGAATGACGGGGTCAACACCTCCCAGGTTTCCTAGGGCTTATTTACTAATTCCTGCAGAGTGACAACTGCCCCCACTGTGTGTGTGTGTGTGTGTGTGTGTGTGTGTGTGTGTGTGTGTGTTCTGTGGTGGGTTGAGGGCATCTTGCATCTCAAGCAGATTCCTGTGATTTAAGAAGTGCCGCAGTGCTACTACAACACAACTACAGAGACAGGCGCAGGAGTAAACACATGCACATACGGTACAAGAGCACCTGCACGCACACACACACACACACACACACACACACACACACACACACACACACACACACTATCAAGAACACACCATCTGTTCAATCAAGCAGGCATGACTCAGAGGTGTGTTGAGAGGTACTCTTGATCGGTGAGCTTTTAGCACTCTCCTCTGCTTCTCGTTCCTTTCCACCTCTCCGTCACTCTACCTCCACTCGACTCCTCTCCTGCATCAGCCCGCCCGCCTCTCCTTCTTCATAACTCCATTCTCAATTATCAGTCTTCCACCTAATGGTTTTATGTTCCTAATTTTCTGTCTCTCAATGTCTTGGCTTCTTCTCTCATGGCATCCTATCACATTAATCTTCTACACTTCTCTCTACTGTACTATATGCTGCACCTCATTCACTGTACTGTACAAAATCAAGTCAGTATGGAGGGAAAAAAAACTGACAAACTATTCTGTTTGTATTCCACAAGCTCTTCACCAAATTAAAACTCAGAGATAAGAGGAATATTATGTGTCAGAGCTCACAGATCAGAGCCATTTCATATCAGCTGCCACATCAAACACTGACAGTCTGTACATCCAGCTACAGATCTGTTCATGCTGCCATCTATGACCGCTTTTATCTTCAGAGCGAGGCACCTCGTTTCTGACACTTCACTCTGGCACATGAAAAAAAGTTTCTGAAAATTGCAGGAGAAATGCTGTATGCATTGTGTAATGGGATATATTGTACTGCTGTTACATTCAGTGTGTAATACAGTAAGTGTGGTATGGCACTGCAGCTGCTAAGCAACTGATACCAGAGAAATGATTTGACTTTATGCATTACAGCTGTCTTTTACAATACAGAAAACAGAAATTATACACCGTAGAAATGTAGGAACCTAACTATTATACAGGAACAGGGGGTGAGACACATTCGCATGCATTAATCCTGGGGAAAAAAACCTTAACTTTCACACTTTCTCCCTTTCTCTTCTGCTTTTTCCTGCTGTGTTTGTGAGAGAGAGAGAAATAAAGAAAAAGAAAGAAATTTTGAGAGTGAAAGTAAAGAAAAACAAACTCGCTTCCAGCGTGTACGGTGGGAAACTTTATCTTAAACGCAAGAAGAAAAAAAAAAAGGCAGAAAGCAGCAAAACTAAAGCAAAGGGATCTGAGGGAGTGATGAAGAGAGGTAGGAGGGCGAGGAAGATGGGAGAACAGGTGTATGAGAGGGATGAGATGCATGCATTGACCTACATTGCAGTAAGAAAGAGAGAGAGAGTATTGCTTCACTGAAACTGACACTCAAACACACATTCACTGAAACGCTATGTCACCTGAATCTTGCTGAGCTTGCAGCGTCTGTGTGTGTATGTGTGTGTGTGTGTGTGTGTGTGTGTGTGTGTGTGTGGATATCAGATGACCTGTAACCCAAGCCGTCTGTCCTGCATGTGCTTTGGTCTCTCTCTTTCTCTCTCTCACACACACACACGCACACACACACACACACACATACACAAATACAATTACCCAAGCCTGTGTAGGAACACAAGTGAAAATAACTCTGACTAACTATGTGTGTGCGTGTGCGTGTGTGTGTGTGTGTGTGTGAGTCAGTAACCTGAATCGTTCATTCATGCACTATACTATTGTCCTTCTACGGTCAAAACAGTGGAGGTGTGTATATGTCACCCTCTCTCTCCTTCACACTGACACACTTTGCACACCGTATACATAAGAAACCCAAAACATAGAGATTTATCGATGAATACCGTCTGATGTTTGTGATTAAAACCCTGCAGGGAAACTGAATATTATAATATTTAACCGATATTTCATTATCTATAAAAATGGCATATTCAGAGTTATATGTCAGAATAATACACACACCACAGTCTCTAAATGATGCATTTAACTTAGATTTCAATATATAATTTATGAATCATCCATCTTTATTCAAGCAGTACTGGAGTGCTTTGTGGTTATGGCGCCAGCACTGCGTCTGTACAGCCACCACTACTGTAACTATGGTCATTCACAACAATTACAAAATGTTTACACTAACAACAGACACTAAAAGACACAAACACTGGGTTTCACTGTTCTACAGTAGCAACTAATATCCTTCCTAACCTTCACCAAAACAGCCAAGATGTCAAATGCAAAAAAGGCTAAAAGATACTTTGGGGTTAAAAGTCATGTTTGTGTGCAATGCAGCTTATTGTAACATTTAGATAATACATACATTTCAAGAATGTATTGTATCTGCCCTTGAGGATCCAATACAGTTTATTATGAGTTATCATATCATATCAATTGGTCTCACTGAATCACATTCAAGCTAAAATATATGCAACAGTAACATTGCTTTTCTATTTAATAAATGCAGCTTTAACTCTAGT